GAGTTACAACCACTTGAGCAGCCATAACAGCAAGTGCCATAGCCTCTTTGTTATCCAATCTAGCAGCCTGGAAGATAGTTGTTTGATAAAATATAACGGAATTGATACCGGAGAACTGCTGGAGAACTTGCAAAGCAATACCAATGAACAACTGCATCTTGCATTGGCCAAGCGCACTGGAAGCCCACGAAGCACTCTCCTTCCAGGTGTTCTTTGCGTTCTTAGCATTATGGGCAGCTAATATCTCATAAGCCTTCACTTCTTCCATGATCTCAGGATCATCTTCAACTGACTCATAACCTCTCAGTTTCAATAGAACCATCTTGGCATCGTCAACACGACTATGCTGAGCCAACCAACGAGGAGATTCCGGAACGAAGAACATACAGACACCCAATAGAGCACTGGGAATCAAATAAATCCAACTCACAGTACGCCACTGACAGAAGGTGCCGTCGGTAGCATTGGGATCAATAGAGCCGGCATCAGTTCTGAAAGCCATCCCAAGAGCATAGGCGAGAAGGACACCGATTGTGATGGAAAGCTGGTTGCACGCTCCCAAAGCCCCACGAATAGCCGTGGGAGAAACCTCACCGATGTAGGTTGGAGACACGACGGACTCAACACCAACAACGAAACCGACCAGAACACGAGCGAACAGCAGCTGCCATGAAGTGTGGGCCAATGCCTGCCACGCGTAGATCAAAACGAAGCAAGGAGAGCACAACAACAAAGTCCGTTTCCTGCCGAACTTCTCAATGAAGGGACCCCCCAATAGGATAGCACCACCCATAGCGCCCAAGTTAACCAGAGACCCAAACAACGAACCTTCTGTAGATGTGTCAAACACATACAAATGGTCATCGGGACCAACCTGGATAAGGACACCATCGGCAGTGGTAACATGATTCTTCATGGTATCAATAGTCTGACCAGTGAAACCCAAAGTTAGACCAAACATGAGTGGACCTAGTAAACATGCAGCCACAGAGAGTACTGCACAGATGTATCTCATTGACTATTAAAACATCAATGAATCTGAACAAATGAACCTTAGAGTACAACATAAACATCGACTCCATGCTCGCTAATTCGCTCGCATAACTAGTGAGTATCCTGATCGGCACAGATTTCTGCGGATTGTGTCCTGGTTGAGTTATAGGCAGCTCTATCCGGTTTTCTCTAGAAGAATGGATATGCCGTGCTAGGACCAACAGAGGAATCTCAGGAATCCAAGAAGACGTCCCTTCTCTCGACGGATGAGAGCACGTTCGACTTGCACAATGTGAAATTGCGTATCCACGTAGGTTACAATTCAAATATGTCACAATCAAAATTGGCAGTGAGAGTCCAATTATGTCACTGCCAAAATATACCACAACTAAGACTCATTCCATCTTGGTTGTGATAAGTTGGGATAGTGACAAATTTGGATCAACACGGCTAACGTGGAGTGTAGCAGTGGAGCAACGACCGGCCCGATGAATAGGATGCCAGTGATGCCTTCATGATGGGAATCTCAGCCGAGACGGAAATCACTGTGAGGACCCTTCGGCATTTCCAGGCCGAGCTGGTGCGTCTGTCACTATGCATGTGGTGGTCGGAAACCCATAGACGCTGAGGTTTGGAGAGGCATACGTGACACTGAAGCCCGGAAAATGAGGATTCACTGCGAGCCTCGCAGCGCGAGGCCAGATTCACGTATGCAGGACCCGTGCATGGATACAACAAAAGGATAGGAGCCCAGCAGCATTCAACCCCCAAATGTAACCGCTCCAAGCCTCTCAACATCAAGGACAGGGCGGGAAGAGAAGACGTTTACTCACCACATACCTGATGGTCGACACCTTCCGTCATGCTGCGATTAGCCTGCTAGCCAAAACGCAAGTACTACAAAGTACAAAATGAATTCACGCATGCCATACACACACACTTGTGCGATTATGTCTTCTGAGAAGGTATCTCAGCCAAGTGCTTCCCCTCAAGGAAGTCTAGGTGTATATCGCTCTACGAATCGTAGACTACGATAGAACAATGGACTGGTGTCAACGACTCCTTCTACTGTGCTTCACCCGCCAAGCTGTAGACTCGCAGCGAAGTCACGGCAGCTAGCAGCGCGACTTTGTGCGGGACAACACTCACTCACCCCAGGACATTCATTCACTCGTGAGATAGTCACCTGGCCAGTGTATGACTGCGAGATTCTGATAGACAACTTGATGCACTATTTCCAATCCTTCCCAGCAGACCAGAAAGCGGGTCAAAGAAACTGCGCTCATGATTCGTATAAAGCCGAATTTGATCTGAGGCGCAACTTGCGCGCAAGTGCTTCAATCAACTAACCGGTTCCTCACACAGCACCTACATGCTCGCATTAATCTCATGTGATCATTTACGTATTTCTAGTGGACGGTCGTCAGACAGACGCATCACGATCCGGTTCCCATGGGGCTCCGGTTCGCGAGTTTCGACATCCTGAAGTTTGCGCTCCTCAAATCAGCGAGATACTAAACTACCATCTTACTCACCGATGGTTACCTGCTGCGTCGAAAATGCAGTCGGGAGACTCTAAACCGTGTGGAAGTCGACCGTTGCGAGGTAGTTCAGTCGATAATTTACGGTTCATCCTACTAAATTAGCTGTATAGCGCCCAATTGACGCCAATGGAATGTGTTCATCTGAGGGCCTCTATCGCCTTGAGATGGAGGAGTTCGCGTTCCCGAACGCCATATCTTTGCTTATCGCACGGACCGGACAGAACAGTGTTCTGAGAACACTCACTATACCGTTACATACTGTACTCTCTGCGATGAGTTGTTCGGCCAGCTCGTCAACCACCGTCGAACGCACACGTATAGTGACTCATCAACGCGGAATCGACAATACTGGAAGCTAAACTGAAAAGACTGATCGAATGTCAGCACAAAATGTCCACAACGCTGCTTACTCTAGCGTATAAAAATATAGCATATCGCTGTTTACGATATAGGTTCAACAACTCTATCGATGGGAGACTACTGTTGGAGTAGTAATCAAGTGGAAATGGAGCATGTACCCGGTGAGGTCGATGCGACTATGCCATCGCGAGGTACGCCTCCGGGAAACGACTCCTCCATTCGGGGCAACTACGCCAGTACAAGATACGCTCTCGTGCGATCGATTCCTCTAGTCAGGACGACTATGCCATTACAAGGTGTGCCTTCGTGAGATCGATTTCTTCAATCGGGGCGACTATGCCATAACGAGATATGCCTTCGTGAGATCGATTTCTCTATTCGGGCCAGTTATGCCATAACGAGACATGCCTTCGTAAGATCGATTTCGTCATTCGGGGTGACTATGCCATTACGAGATATGCCTTCGTGAGATCGATTTCATCATCCGGGGTGACTATGCCATCACGAGATATGCATTCGTGAGAGCGGCTCCTCTATTTGGGGCGACTATGCCATTACGAGACATGCCTTCGTGAGATCGATTCCGTCATTCGGGGCGACTATGCCATTACAAGGTGTGCCTTCGTGAGATCGATTTAGTCATCCGGGGCGACTATGCCATTACGAGATATGCCTTCGTGAGATCGATTCCGTCATTCGGGGCGACTATGCCATTACAAGGTGTGCCTTCGTGAGATCGATTTCGTCATCCGGGGCGACTATGCCATTACGAGATATGCCTTGGTGAGATCGATTCCGTCATTCGGGGCGACTATGCCATTACAAGGTGTGCCTTCGTGAGATCGATTTCGTCATCCGGGGCGACTATGCCATTACGAGATATGCCTTCGTGAGATCGATTCCGTCATTCGGGGCGACTATGCCATTACAAGGTGTGCCTTCGTGAGATCGATCTCGTCATCCGGGGCGACTATTCCATTACGAGATATGCCTTCGTGAGATCGATTTCTTCAATCGGGGCGACTATGCCATAACGAGATATGCCTTCGTGAGATCGATTTCTCTATTCGGGCCAGCTATGCCATAACGAGACATGCCTTCGTAAGATCGATTTCGTCATTCGGGGTGACTATGCCATTACGAGATATGCCTTCGTGAGATCGATTTCATCATCCGGGGTGTGGGGTTGCGATGAGGACGACGGCGCCGACATTGGCTAACGCGAGGCAGAGGAGAAGAAGGGAAACTTGAGCCAAGATGGCTACGGTTAGTGACAAATGAACTATAGCTACCTCGAAGTAATCATGCTCTAAGTTCCGCTATGTGGCTGCGTACTACTAGAGAAAGCGCACGCCCTAAACCCTTACAGCTTTCTCCCCCTTCGTGAGCGGCCATAACGTGAGGTACTCCCCTGTATAGCCTCTAAAAAATGCCGCTCGTGATCTCTCTTAGATCTTCTCGGAGTTGTAGTAGCAGTACCATTCTGGGATTCTGTGGTCCCGTCAATAAGTAAAGGATAAGACATATGATCTTCTCCCCCTTTATGGGGTGCGTCATCAAGAACCTTGGAGTCAGGGTTTCCCTCACCGTGAGCTAACGGCTCTTCATCGCTGAAACCTGAATCTCCGGTAGGGTGATCTTCCTCCACATGGGGATCATCCTCATCATGAGTAAAGAATCGGCGCAGATTTTTAGCGTGAACGATCATCGGCGCCCCACCATCGACCGGCTTGACAGAATAACATTGTTTACCTTTAGCACCAATAATTTCATACTTCTCATCTCGAACATATTGACCCAACTTTGGGTTCCGGTCTTTGGTAATAAGAACAATATCTCCAGCCTCCAATGGCTGAGTACCAGTGCTCTTCTTGCTGCTCTCCACTGCAGCGTGTTGTCTCCTATCCAACCAGAACTCTCGGAAAATTCCAAGCATATGGTCACGTCTCTTGATACGGCGACGGCAATCAGCTATCACCTGAGCGTTGTGCAGCGGGTCCGAGGGAAGGAATTTCGGACGTAATCGTTCCCATTCTTCGGCTGCATTATCATCAGCGGTCAAGAGGCGAGCAATCGGTAGCTTAGGCGAGTATCCATAGACCAACTCGAAAGGAGACGGAGCACCATCCTTTGGGGTAGAATTGTTAATACGATTAGCAGCAATACATAGCATAAGTTCCCAATCCGGCATCTTGGCATTTTGTAGCATAGAGCGTAGGCAGCGTCCTAGTACTTTGTGCTTCACCTCATAGAATCCTCCAAGATGAGGACTCCTGCTTGGCAGGACTTCATGTCGCATAGCATTCATCAATAATAGTGACGAGAACCCTGGATGGCGACAGAACTGACTTCCCTGATCTGTTATGATCAGATCCGTCACATTTCCCCATTGCCACACGATAACCTTCTCGACTTCCGTCACAACAGTACTGCCTCGACAATCGGGTATTAATCGAAAGCAGGTGAAGCCGGTATAGCGGCATACAAAGGTGACCACGTACCAAGGTGGCTCCGTCTTTGCCGTAGCTGCCATCCCTACCCTTGGAGATCGCATTGGACCATATAGATCGATCCCCACGGTCCGAAATGGACCAGAAGGAACACCAATGCCTCCCGTTTCTTCTGCAATATCCGATGGTCTTACCACCGAGCGTTGGCATGGTTCGCAAGCATTGACGGTTTGTTTGATGATCTTCTTCATTCCCGGACACCATGCCACTTCAGCGATCTTGTGTGATACTTCATAGAATGCTGCATGCGCTGCTTGATGGTGTGCAGCCTCAGCAATCTCTGACATAAGGCGCCTCGGCACCACAACTTGGGTCAAGACTTTTCGCCCTTCTCCACTCTTGAGGAGAATCCGACGACATAACAGATTTTGCTTGTTGAGAAATAATCGGTAGACGAATCCAGTCGCCTTTTCTCCTAGCGACGGGTCAGAATTGAGTGCCTCTCTGGCACGATTCGTTTCAGCATCACGAACTTGTTCGTAACGTAGCCACTGCAATCGTGAACCATTGCAGTTATCCGGCGACTTGTCATCAGCTGCAGCACTTTGTCCTGCTGTGGACCTCCATGCGCCAAATATTTGTTGTAACCCCACGAATCTCCTATAACTGGGTACAATAAAGCATGACCACCCAAGAAGGTCATTCCCGATACCATAATCGCAAGCACCTAGATTCTGCGATGACTCTACCGTGACTCCATTATCCGAGTCACTAGACGTCTCGCCTGTAGGCTCTACCGCGATCGGGGCGATCATTTCCCCCTCTGGTTTTTCCACGGGAATACATATGGTCATTTCCGGAGCTCGTGATAACATATCCGCATGAATATTTTTCGCTGCTATAACGTGACATATTTCTAGTCGTATAGACCGGCGTCGCCAATCGAAATTCAAATCAATAATCATATTCCGGAGTCGCAGAATAGCTTGCTTCTCCAATGCCTTGCTCCCAGATGTCAAGGCCCACGGATCACTTTGTTTTTGTGTGACACGTGAATCAGTGCCCACTCTGATTGATCTCAGATGTGGCATCAATACCAATAGAGTATCCAATCGTCGAATACACATTGCCAATCCATATAGTTCTTTACGATTGCAATGCCATACATCTTGCTTCTTATTGAAGCCCTTCGCCTCAGAATACACTATCGCTGATGAATTGTAGATATTACCAGTCCCATCTACCAGACCACGATCCACCACCACGAATCCATAACCCACTTTGGACGCATCAGTGCGTACTTCAATATCGGTGATGCTTCCATATATTCTCAGATTCTCATCTTCTGCAGAGCTTGCCTTCCAATAGAACTTCGCGCAGTCGAAGTGCTTTGACAAGAGATTGCATACATGGGAATCCTGGCAAGGACTATCCCAGTCTGCCCATCCACCACTCAAACGTCGGAGAGTGTCAGCATGAGCTCTCGCTAAGGTCTCACAGAATCCACCTGTCAGTGCTAGGAATACTCCAGCTGCACTGAAGATCTGCCTTTTGGTATATGGGTGATGCAGCTCCCTTTCTACAACTGGTCTCTTCATCGTCAGCTTAGGGATATCTGCATCAAATGACCAATATGCACCAAGCCATCGAATGGGAGAGTCTGCTGACCAGAGGGCACGCTTCTCACTACTGCAGTTGAAGCCACAACGGGACCATAAGCAATCGTAAAGTGATTCTGTAAAGGCGATTTCGTCAGAAGAACCAACAAAAAGATAATCATCCATAACGAGAATAATGCGAGCCATACCACGACAAGCCATCTCGGATCTGTCGGCATCATAGTCATTGGGGAACGGATGCGAGGATTCTATTACAGAAGGCTCTTCAATAACTTGATCGATGTGTACATAAATCGCATCAATCTTCTCTTCTTCTGCTACCGATCTCATTTCTGACCGTTGATCAGATGCCTGCTCATACACATTTCGCAATTGTTCGTTTTCAGCCGAATCCCCTGCGAACTTCAAAGTAATATTCAAGCAGCACATAGCTGATCGCCCTAGTAGAATCCCTCGGCTCGATCCCTTCACCACGATAAAAGGTAAATAGAACCACTCACCAGTCTTCCTCTCCAATTGCACTGGAACGATAACTTCCTGATGAGATACTTCTTCTGCTGCACCAGCATACGATAATTTCACGGGTGTCTTCAACTCTCTTAAACACGCATCATTCGATGCAATCAGCTGGGACGCTACTGCGTCTGCCATTAGTGATGACGCTGCGCCACTATCAAGTAGCACATCTGCCTCGAACTCGGCATGCTGGCCGAACTTGCATGCTAGCTTCGGAACTGGATCATCGGCTCCAATCGCATACACTCCTCGAACTTCTCCCACGAATACTTCCACACTCCCAGTTGGCTGTGCTGATTTCCCAGGCGACCCAGGGCCCTTGGGTTTCTGGGCTTCGCCAGCAACACCAGAAGTCGATACAGTAGAAGGACTTCGCCCACCATTACGTGAGAGATCAGGACAATTCCTCTTGAAATGGCCAGCCTTCCCACAATTATAGCAATAGACGTTCGATAGATTGGCCGATATCGCATTCCCTTTACCGAATTGTCGATCGACATTCTCCTGTCGACCACCGTCACGAGCTTGCGGTTTCCCATTCTCTGGAAATCGTGGCCGTGCTCCACCACCCTTCCGTCCGATCACAGTATCTCGACCCTGCTGATACTCCGAGTCGAAAAATTCTGCCGAATCCACAATCGATTCTAATTTCTTCTCGTAGATTTTTGGACCGTAGCGACTCTTTATTTTAGCGAGAAGTCCCGGCGGAATGCCATCGAGAAATCGCTGCCGCAACTCGCCCTCACTTACGTTGCACTTCCCTGGCAGTGCTACTGCCATGCTCTTAAGCCGTGACATAAACGATACCACCGACTCGTTGCTCTGCTTCTTGGCCTGCTGGAACTGCTGCCTCGCCCGACCGTGGGACCAAACGGATCCATACTCCTCCTGTAGTCGTTGTAAAAGATAATCCAACGGCTCGGTGCCTTCGGGTATCTCCTTGGTCAAGCACGTATGGGCGTAGGTACGTTCAGCACCACAGAGGTTACGTAAGGCGTAATAACACGCACGACGACCCCTCAGAGCATATGAGGAACATGCCAGACGAATACGATACTGCCAGGTATCATACGATACAACACCCAGTTTTGCCAGACCCCATTCGCCACCATCAATCAATGGTAGATCTTTTATATTGACACGATCGTCATTCTTTTCCTGGGCGCTCGAAACATTCACCGTCGAAGGCGCGATGCTCATCGCCGACTGTGAACGTTCATTGCAAGTAGCCAATACTTTGATAAACCCATCAAATAAGATAGCCGCTTCGTCTATCGTCGTCAGCTTCAAGATGGTTTTGATTATACGAGTAGATAAGACTCCCGCTAGTTCCCTAGCGCCATCAGCATAATCCAATCCTGCGTCATCCACACAGAAAAGTATCTCCCCGTAGATAAGGGGGAATATGCGATCAATTTCATCTTTGATCAGTTCAGCTGCGCCAGGGGCTCGAATAACCTCGTTCCAATTCTCTGGAACATGACCACCGTAATACTGTGCCAACAGAGTAGCCCCCTTCCGTATAACAGTACCGATACGAGATTTGTTGACTCCCGGCCCTTCTAGAATCTGGTCCACAACCCCGTGGACTACCGGGATTACCTCCTCTACCGTTGGCCTCTCCGGTGCGGTTGCAGACATCGCAGAGTCCCACCGAGATCGCCATGGAATGTGGGGTTGCGATGAGGACGACGGCGCCGACATTGGCTAACGCGAGGCAGAGGAGAAGAAGGGAAACTTGAGCCAAGATGGCTACGGTTAGTGACAAATGAACTATAGCTACCTCGAAGTAATCATGCTCTAAGTTCCGCTATGTGGCTGCGTACTACTAGAGAAAGCGCACGCCCTAAACCCTTACAGGGGTGACTATGCCATTACGAGATATGCATTCGTGAGAGTGGCTCCTCTATTTGGGGCGACTATGCCTTACAAGGTGTGCCTTCGTGAGATCGATTTCGTCATCCGGGGCGACTATGCCATTACGAGATATGCCTTCGTGAGATCGATTTCGTCATCCGGGGTGACTATGCCATTACGAGATATGCCTTCGTGAGATCGATTTCTCCATCCGCGGCGACTCATTTCATCGATACAACCCAAGGAACTTCGATTTTGACGGATTGGTGAGATCGACTCGGCTGTTGGTCACCAAGGTCGTTCAGGCCCTGAACTTCAGGGACACTGGTCTTCTCGAGATAATCTCGCGACGGCATGACATCTCGACATGCATTTGAGATGAAATTTTCTGGTATGCTAAGCGATTCAACTCTGTGGTGCTGTGATTTACCAACGCGTGTCGTTCTAAACAGTCTGGGATCATCGTCGATGACTTGGAGTTCACAACAATGGCTCATAGTCCAGAGTCGAGAGGTTGAAAATGATAAAATGCTAGGAGGCATCCATCGGAATTATGCCGATAAAAGGTGAACAAACTGATATTTCAAGAACATTTTTTATAATTTCCAGCGTTGTAGTCAATTCAACTCAAACTGCTAATTAACGAGCTACATCTACGTCTGCGTGTTCGCGTATCACTCATCAGTACTAATCATGTACAGGAATTCATCATCAGGAAGCAGCTCACTGATAGCAGAGATACGTTTAAGCAAGACGTTGGCAACAATTGAGATTAAACAACTCGCTGTGAAGCAACTCGAGAGGTGAAGGCATCGTAGACTTGCTGGATTGGTATATTAGAACCCGCTGGGGGAAAAGTAGTAGATGGTCCGCAGAATCAGTAGATTTACAGCAAAAGGAGCAGCAATGGCAACGCTTGAGCGAAAGCAGAATGAGCATCCGGCAGCGCAACTCCCTTGATGAGACGTCACAAAACAGGGGAGAGGAGGTGGGATCTAAGTATCGCAGCACTTGACATGTCATGTCGGACTTGATCAATGTCAATGTACAAGAAAAGCATTGTTGTCTCGGTAAAGGTGTTGAAAGGATTTTGTAGATAGCTGACGTAGCTTCAGCACCACGGGAGATGACGTGTAATCAGTCACTGAATGAACATGTAAGTCACATGTTTGATCATTGACGTCACCTGATGTGACGTAGCGCCTGCGAGAAATCACCTCACTGGGATCTTTAGATATTTGCCAAGATTCTCACAGTGAAGGCATTATAACATATTCCTATGGAACCTATACAGCTCTATGATAGCGAAGCTACAATCGTTAGAATCACTTGGTAGACAAAATTCTCTTCAATTCCGATTTAACTTCGAACTATACATCAAGTGCCCATGTGAGAGGGATCTGCGCTGACGTATTGCCTATGCGTATAGCGTTGCTGGTGTGCGTCTGTATCCGACTGTCGATTGACATCAATAAAGTGAGCCGATCAGTATCTAACGTCTACCTGTAATCGACTGACTTCAAAGACACTGTAATGGAGATTGTGTGTGAGCACGCAAGAACCGACTTTATCATCAAATAAGTTAGAGCTGGTAAGCGATCTGCAACTTACTAACTGAAGAATGAGAGTAACAACTGAGAGGATTCTCCTATATACACACGACTACATAACCCGATCTGAACTAGCAACTCATTCAGTCGGTCCATGCTGCTCGATGACTCTTCTTATGAACAAAACATGCATTAACGACGATATCTTCACCCTTAAAAACTTGATTTAATAACACAGCAAGAACACCTCGGTAGCCTTGTAACTTATCCAATGACAAGTTGGAAGTAGATCTCAAGAAGTCTCTCGGAACAACCCTATGATATGAAAAATACCTTTAGTCGCCCGTTAACGGAATTATAGAATGACTACACGTACACTATCTTAACGGAGAACAGTCCAGTATTTAACATACTTGAAGAGAAAATAAACTCTCCTTAAAAAAGAAATTATTGAGATCGTTATGTAGCAGCTCTACCTCAGTGCCCATACTATACTCACCGCGAACAAACAGCCTTCTCGACATCTACATTGACGGAAGCGCCAACAGTCTTAGCCTTGCTACCATATTTTCTACTGAAGTAATGTTGAATCTCTTCGAAGGTCTTGCCTTTCGTCTCTGGAACAACCAACAGAACAAAGATGACCATCACAAGACAAACAACGGCGAAACTCCAGAAGACACCCTGGTATGTTATAGCCTTGCTATAGGCATCTAAGAACATGGTGATTATCCAAGAACAGAACCAGTTAGCGCCAGTGGCAATAGATGCGGAAAGACCTCTCACTTCATTGGGGAAGATCTCAGCCATGATCAACCATGGGATGGCACCAACACCAATGGAGAAGGAAGCAATGTACAAGAAGGCGGAGAAGATGGCCAACCAGCTGACGTTGATGTCATTAACATCATAAAGGAGGAAGAATACACCCAGTAGAATAGCTGCTACACACATACCAGTAGCACCCGCTACCAAAAGAACTCTTCTTCCCGCCATATCCATGATGATGCAAGCAATTAGAGTTACAGCCACTTGAGCAGCCATAACAGCAAGTGCCATAGCCTCTTTGTTATCCAATCTAGCAGCCTGGAAGATAGTTGTTTGATAAAATATAACGGAATTGATACCGGAGAACTGCTGGAGGACTTGCAAAGCAATACCAATGAGCAACTGCATCTTGCATTGGCCAAGCACACTGAAAGCCCAGGAAGCACTCTCCTTCGAGGTGTTCTTAGCATTATGGGCAGTTGATATCTCATAAGCCTTCACTTCTTCCATAATCTCAGGATCCTCCTCAACTGACGTAGAACCTCTAAGTCTTAATAGAACCATCTTGGCATCGTCAGCACGACTATGCTGAGCCAACCAACGAGGAGATTCCGGAACGAAGAACATGCAAATACCCAATAGAGCACTGGGAATCAAATAAATCCAGCTCACAGTACGCCACTGACAGAAGGTGCTGTCAGTAGCATTGGGATCAGTAGAGCCGGCATCAGTTCTGAAAGCCACCCCAAGAACATAGGCGAGGAGAATACCGATTGTGATGGAAAGCTGGTTGCACGCTCCCAAAGCCCCACGAATAGCCGTGGGAGAAACCTCACCGATGTAGGTGGGAGCCACGACGGACTCAACACCAACAACGAAACCGACCAGAACACGAGCGAACAGCAACTGCCATGAAGTGTGGGCCAATGCCTGCCACGCGTAGATCAAAACGAAGCAAGGAGAGCACAACAACAAAGTCCATTTCCTTCCAAACCTCTCGACGAAGGGACCTCCCAATAGGATAGCACCACCCATAGCGCCCAAGTTAACCAGAGACCCAAACAACGAACCTTCTGTAGATGTATCAAACACATACAAATGGTCATCGGGACCAACCTGGATAAGGACACCATCGGCAGTGGTAACATGATTCTGCATGGTATCAATAGTCTGACCAGTGAAACCCAAAGTTAGACCAAACATGAGTGGACCTAGTAAACATGCAGCCACAGAGAGTACTGCACAGAGGTATCTCATTGACTATCAAAACATTAACGAACCTGAACAAATGAACCTTAGAGCACAACATAAACATCGACTCCATGCTCGCTAATTCGCTTGCATAACTAGTGAGTATCCTGATCGGCACAGATTTCTGCGCATTGTGTCCTGGTTGAGTTATAGGCAGCTCTATCCGGTTTTCTCTAGAAGAATGGATATGCCGTGCTAGGACCAACAGAGGAATCTCGGAGAACCCAAGAAGACGTCCCTTCTCTCGATGGGTGAGAGCACGTTCGACTTGCATAATCCGAAACTGCGTATCCACGTAGGTTACAATTCAAATATGTCACAATCAAAATTGGCAGCGTGAGTCTAATTATGTCACTGCCAAAATATACAACAACTAAGACTCATTCCATCTTGGTCGTGATAAATTGGGATCGTGACAAATTTGGATCAACACGGCTAACGTGGAGTGTAGCATAATAGGATGATGATATCTTATGTACAGCAACGACCGAGCCGATGATTGGGATGCCAGTGATACCTTCATGATGGGAATCTCAGCCGAGATGGAAATCACTGTGAGGACCCTTCGGCATTTCCAGGCCGAGCTGGTGCGTCTGTCACTATGTATGCGGTGGTCGAAAACCCATAGACGCTGAGGTTGGGAGAGGCATACGTGACACTGAAGCCCGCAAAATGAGGATTCACTGCGAGCCTCGCAGCTCGAAGCCAGATTCACGTATGCAGGACCCGTGCATGGATACAGCAAAAGGATAGGAGCCCAACAGCATTCAACCCCCAAATGTAACCGCTCCAAGCCTCTCAACATCAAGAAAAGGGCGGAAAGAGAAGACGTTTATCCACTACATACCTGATGATCGACACCTTCCGTCATGCTGCGATTAGCCTGCTAGCCAAACCGCAAGTACTACAAAGTACAAAATGAATTCACGCATGCCATGCACACACACTTGTGCGATTATGTCTTCTGAGAGGGTATCTCAGCCAAGTGCTTCCCCTCAAGGAAGTCTAGGAGTATATTGCTCTACGAATCGTAGACTACGATAGAACAACGGACTGGTGTCAACGACTCCTTCTACTGTGCTTCACCCGCCAAGCTGTAGACTCGCAGCGAGGTCACGGCAGTTAGCAGCGCGACTTTGTGCGGGACAACTCTCACTCACCCCAGGACATTCATTCACTCGTGAGATAGTCACCTGGCCAGTGTATGACTGCGAGATCCTGATAGATAACTTGATACACTACTTCCAATCCTTCCCAGCAGACCAGAAGGCGGGTCAGAGAAAGTGCGCTCATCATTCGTATAAAGTCGAATTTGATCTGAGACGCAACTTGCGCGCAAGTGCTTCAATCAACTAACGGGTTCCTCACACAGCACCTACATGCTCGCATTAATCTCATGTGATCATTTACGTATTTCTAGTGGACGGTCGTCAGACAGACGCATCACGGTCCGGTTCCCATGGGGCTCCGGTTCGCGAGTTTCGACATCCTGAAGTTTGCGCTCCTCAAATCAGCGAGATACTAAACGACCATCTAACTCACCGATGTTAACCTGTTGCGTCGAAAATGCAGTCGAGAGACTCTAAACCGTGTGGAAGTCGACCGTTGCGAGGTAGTTCAGTCGATAATTAAATTATCATAATTTACGGTTCATCCTACTAAATCAGCTGTATAGCGCCCAATTGAGGCCAATGGAATGTGTTCATCTGAGGACCTCTATCGCCCTAAGGTGGAGGAGTTCGCGTTCCCGAACGCCATATTTTTCCTTGTCGCACCGACCGGACAGAGCACTAACTATACCGTTATATACTGTACCCTCTTCGATGAGTTGTTTGGCGAGCTCGTCAACCACCGTCAAACGCACACGTATAGTGACTCATCAACGCGGAATCGACAATACTGGAAGCTAAACTGAAAAGACTGATCGAATGTCAGCACAAAATGAGGAAGTGTCGTCTAAACAGAATTTCTTCCACAACGCTGCTTACTCTAGCGTAGAAAAATATAGCATATCGCTGCTCACGATATAGGTTCAACAACTCCATCGATGGTAGACTACTGTTGGAGTAGTAATCAAGGGAAAACGGAGCATGTACCCGGTGAGGTCGATGCGACTATGATATCGCGAGGTACGCCTCCGTGAAACGACTCCTCCATTCGGGGCAACTATGCCAGTACAAGATACGTTCTCGTGCGATCGATTCCTCTAGTCAGGACGACTATGCCATTACAAGGTGTGCCTTCGTGAGATCGATTTCTACTCGGGGCGACTATGCCATAACGAGATATGCCTTCGTGAGATCGATTTCGTCATCCGGGGCGACTCATTTCATCGATACACCAAAGGAACTTCGATTTTGACGGATTGGTGAGATCGACTCGGCTGTTGGTCACCACTTATTCCATTCGAGTAGATATGATAGGACTCCAGCTCGATGGGTCATCTGTTAGACGAAGCCCATATCGCAACAGTTCAAGGTCGTTCAGGCCCTGAACTTCAGGGACACTGGTCTTATCGAGATAATCTCGCGACGGCATGACATCTCGACTTGCATTTGAGATGAAATTTTCTGGTATGCTAAGCGATTCAACTCTGTGGTGCTGTAATTTACCAACGCGTGTCGTTCTAAACAGTCTGGGATCATCGTCCATGTCTTGGAGTTCACAACAATGGCTCATAGTCCAGAGTCGAGAGGTTGAAAATGATAAAATGCTAGGAGGCATCCATCGGAATTATGCCGATAAAAGGTGAACAAACTGATATTTCAAGAACATTTTTTATAATTTCCAGCATTGAAGTCAATTCAATTCAAACTGTTAATTAACGAGCTACATCTACATCTGCGTGTTCGCGTATCACTCATCAGTACTAATCATGTACAGGAATTCATTATCAGGAAGCAGCTCACTGATAGCAGAAATACGTTTAAGCAAGACGTTGGCAACAATTGAGATTAAATAACTCGCTGTCGGAGAGGTGAAGGCATCGTAGACTTGCTGGATTGGTATATTAGAACCCGCTGGGGGGAAAGTAGTAGATGCCATCTACTAGATGGTCCGCAGAATCAGTAGATTTACAGCAAAAGGAGCAGCAATGGTAACGCTTGAGCGAAAGCAGAATGAGCATCCATAAGGCAACGCACCCCCCTTGATGAGACATCACAAAACAGGGCTGCACACATCAATCCAAGCAGTTTTCGGTAATCCACGCAACCTCCCATAATCCAAGCAAATCCGCTCAATCCAAGCTATATGGTGCATGACAGAATGTGATTGGGGTAGTGACAAGTAAAAAAGGGCAAGCGAGCGAAGCGAGCTAGCCGAGGAAACCTCTTGGTGTCTTCTCTGTTCACATCTCTGTTTAACACTGTTTTAGCTTTTCTGCGGCGTCCGCCGAGTACTTCACTAATTCTATTGACCGTTTACGCCTTTCCCCTTTCCCTACTCAATGACCTTGACGAATCGTCTATTGTTTCACGTATATATGTGCACTAACTTGTGATGACATCGTGAACCTTTTGGGGAGCAATCACAACGATACTATCTGCTCGACTACTTGCCCTAGTGATCTCTGAGCTTCGCGAGACTTCGGGCGAACCTATCGCAATTCGGGCCGAAACGTCAAGACAAACCATAATATGGTAAGTGAAGCAGTACTCACAAGAACAAGCATATGTGCAAAGTATACTAATCTATGTGAGTTAATCTAAGTAGGGGAAAGGAAGTGGGATCTAGTATCGCAGCACTTGACACGTCATGTCGGACTTGATCAATGTCAATCTACAAGAAAAGCATTGTTGTCTCGGGAAAGGTGTTGAAAGGATTTTGTAGATAGCTGACGTAGCTCCAGCACCACGGGAGATGCTGTGTAATCAGTCACTGAATGAACATGTAAGTCACATGTTTGATCATTGACGTCACCTGATGAGAGGTAGCGCCTGCGAGAAATTAGCTCACTGGGATCTTTAGATATTTGCCAAGATTCTCACAGTGAAGGCCTTTAACGCCTGGCGTATAACATATTCCTATGGAACCTATACAGCTCTCTGATAGCGAAGCTACAATCGTTAGAATTACTCGGTAGACAAAATTCTCTTCAATTCCGATTCAGCTTTGAACTATACATGAAGCGCCCATGTGAGAGGGATCTGCGCTGACGTACTGCCTATGCGTATAGCGTTGCTGGTGTGCTTCTGTATCCGACTGTCGATTGAAATCAATAAAGTGAGCCGATCAGTATCTAACGTCTACCTGTAACCGACTGACTTCAAATACACTGTAATGGAGATTGTGTGTGAGCACGCAAGAACCGACTTTATCATCAAATAAGTTACAGCTGGTAAGCGATCTGCAACTTACTAACTTGAGAATGAGAGTAACAACTGAGAGAATTCTCCTATATACACACGACTACATAACTCGATCTGAACAAGCAACTTAACGACGATATCTCCACCCATCAAAACTTGATTAACTAACACAGCAAGAACACCTCGGTAGCCTTGTAACTTATCCAATGACAAGTTGGGAGTAGATCTCAAGAAGTCTCTCGGAACAACCTTATAATATGAAAAATACCTTTGGTCGCCCGTTAACGGATTTATAGAATGATTACACGTACACTATCTTAACGGAGAACAGTCCATATTCAACATACTTGAAGAGAAAATAAACTATCCTTAAAGGAGAAATTATTCAAATCGTTATGTAGCAGCACTACCTCAGTGCCGATACCTTACTCACTGCGAACAAACAGCCTTCTCGACATCTACATTGACGGGAGCTTCAACAGCCTCACCATTTCTTCTACTGAAGTAATGTCGAATCTCTTCGAAGGTCTTGCCTTTTGTCTCTGGAACAACCAACAGAACAAAGATGACCGTCACAAGACAAACAACGGCGAAACTCCAGAAGACACCCTGGTAGGTTATAGCCTCTCCATAGTCATCTAAGAACATGGTGACTATCCAAGAACAGATAAAGTGAACGCCAGTGGCGATAGATGCAGAGAGACCCCTCACTTCATTGGGGAAGATCTCAGCCATGATCAACCATGAGATGGCACCAACACCAATGGAGTAGGAAGCAATGTACAAGAAGGCAGAGAAGATGGCCAACCAACTGACGCTGTTATCATTAACATCATCAAGGAAGAAGAATACACCCAGTAGAATAGCTCCTACACACATACCAGTAGCACCCGCTACCAAAAGAACTCTTCTTCCCGCCATATCCATGATGATGCAAGCAATTAGAGTTACAACCACTTGAGCAGCCATAACAGCAAGTGCCATAGCCTCTTTGTTATCTAATCCAGCAGCCTGGAAGATAGTTGTTTGATAAAATATAACGCCATTGATACCGGAGAACTGCTGAAGGACTTGCAAAGCAATACCAATGAACAACTGCATCTTGCATTGTCCAAGCGCACTGAAAGCCCAAGAGGCACTCTCCTTCCAGGTGTTCTTTGCGTTCTTAGCATGATGGGCAGCTGATATCTCATAAGCCTTCACTTCTTCCATGATCTCAGGATCCTCTTCAACTGACTCATAACCTCTCAGTTTCAATAGAACCTTCTTGGCATCGTCAGCACGACTATGCTCAGCTAACCAACGAGGAGATTCCGGAACGAAGAATATGCAGACACCCAATAGTGCACTGGGAATCAAATAAATCCAACTCACAGTACGCCACTGACAGAAGGTGCTGTCGGTAGCATTGGGATCAATAGAGCCGGCATCAGTTCTGAAAGCCATCCCAAGAGCATAGGCGAGAAGGACACCGATTGTGATGGAAAGCTGGTTGCACGCTCCCAAAGCCCCTCGAATAGCCGTGGGAGAAACCTCACCGATGTAGGTGGGAGCCACGACGGACTCAACACCAACAACGAAACCGACCAAAACACGAACGAGCAGCAACTGCCATGAAGTGTGGGCCAATGCCTGCCACGCGTAGATCAAAACGAAGCAAGGAGAGCACAACAACAAAGTCCGTTTCCTGCCGAACTTCTCACTGAAGGGACCCCCCAATAGGATAGCACCACCCATAGCGCCCAAGTTAACCAGAGACCCAAACAACGAACCTTCTGTAGATGTATCAAACACATACAAATGGTCATCGGGACCAACCTGGATAAGGACACCATCGGCAGTGGTAACATGATTCTGCATGGTATCAATAGTCTGACCAGTGAAACCCAAAGTTAGACCAAACATGAGTGGACCTAGTAAACATGCAGCCACAGAGAGTACTGCACAGAGGTATCTCATTGACTATTAAAACATCAATGAATCTGAACAAATGAACCTTAGAGTACAACATAAACATCGACTCCATGCTCGCTAATTCGCTTGCATAACTACTGAGTATCCTGATCGGCACAGATTTCTGCGGACTGTGTCCTGGTTGGGTTATAGGCAGCTCTATCCGGTTTTGTCTACAAGAATGGATATGCCGTGCTAGGACCAACAGAGGAATCTCGGAGAATCCAAGAAGACGTCCCTTCTCTCGATGGATGAGAGCACGTTCGACTTGCAGAATCCAAAACTGCGTATCCACGTAGGTGACAATTCAAATATGTCACAACCAAGATTGGCAATGCGGGTCCAATTATATGTCACTTCCAAAGCATACTACAGCTAAAGACTCATCCAATCTTGGTTGTGATAAATTGGGATAGTGACAAGTTTGGATCAACACGGCTAATGTGGAGTGTAGCATAATAGGATGATGACATCTTATGTACAGCAACGACCGATGGTTAGGATGCCAGCGATGCCCTCATGATGAGAGTCTCAGCCGAGATGGAAATCAATGTGAGGACCCTTCGGCGTTACCAGGCCGAGCTGGTGCGTCTGTCACTATGCATGCGGTGGTCGGAAACCCATAGACACTGACGTGACACTGAAGCCCACAAAATGAAGATTCACTGCGAGCCTCGCAGCGCGAGGCCAGATTCACGTATGCAGACCCCGTGCATGGTTACAACAAAGGGATACAAGCCCAACAGCATTTAACCCCTAAATGTCACCGCTCCGAGTATCTCAACATCAAGAGAAGGGCGGTAAGGGAAGACGTTTATTCACCACATACCTGATGATCAACACCTCCCATCACGCTGCGATTAGCCTGCTGGCCGAACCGCAAGTACTACAGAGTACAAAATGAATTCACGCATGCCATGCACACACACTTGTGCAATTATGTCTTCTGAGAGAGTATCTCAGCCAAGTGCTTCCCCCTCAAAGAAGCCTAGGAGTATATTGCTCTACGATAGAATAACGGACTGGTGTCAACGACTGCTTCTACTGCGTTTCACCCGCCAAGTCATCGTTTCCCTATTTCTAACAGTATTTCGGTATATACTCCACCCTTCTTCGATTAACTAACACAAATAATCGTTCGAGTTGACTTGAACTTCTTTTTGGTAGGAAGTAGGAACAGTATAATCAACCGCTGAGGAAAACCTGGGCGACTCTAAAATAAAACCGAGAACACACAAACAAAGACAAAGCGAAATAGAGTTGATAGAATACATATCATGTTATAAAGTTCAAGAGCAGCATCTCAGTTATAAATACGACTGGCGCTCGCAAATCACTGATACATCGATGAAAGGGAGCTTCCATCGTGACTGAGACAGAACTCTCATGGTTCATAGAGCAGCATCACTGTTGAAATTCCACGTCTTTGTAGCCTAGTTGTTTGTCGGAATCACTTTGTCATCCGCAGCAACTACTGGGTTCGTGTGGGATGCGGTCTTCTTCTTACCGAAGCAATCGCAATTCACAACCTTGCCGCTGTTGAAGTGCTCCTGGATCACTTCAAAGGACCTTCCCTTAGTCTCGGGCACGAATACCAATACGAAGACAGCCAAGACCATGCACATGAAGGCAAAACTCCAGAAGACGCCTTGATAAGTGATTGCTTGCCTGTAGTCATCCAAGAACATAGTGACGATCCAAGAGAAGAACCAGTTGACAGCGGTAGCAATAGACGCAGAAAGACCTCTCACTTCATTAGGGAAGATCTCAGCCATGATCAACCATGGGATGGCACCAACACCAATGGAGAAGGAAGCAATATACAAGAAGGCGGAGAAGATGGCCAACCACGCAATATCATTATCATCGATATCTTGCTCGAAGAAGAAAACACCCAATAAAATAGCAGCTATACACATACCAACTGCGCCCAATACGAGCAGGAATCTTCTACCGGCCATATCCATTACAATACAAGCAATGAACGTGACAATGACTTGCACTGCCATGACGGCAAGAGCCATGGACTCCTTACCATTCAAACCAGCTGCCTGGAAAATAGTTGTCTGATAAAAGATGACAGCGTTGATACCCGACAACTGCTGTAGAATTTGCAGAACCACACCAATGAAAAGTTGCATTTTACACTTTCCCAGAGCATGCCAGGACCATTCGGCGGTCTCCTTCCAGTTACTCTTCGCGTTCTTACTATTTTGTTCAGCTTCAGCTTCATAAGCCTTCACCTCCTCCATGATCTCGGGATCTTCCTCGACCGTTTTAGAACCACGTAGTCTCAGCAGAACCCTAGTGGCAGCATCAGCACGATTATGCTCAGCCAACCAACGAGGGGATTCCGGGACGAAAAACATACATATACCAAGGAGAGCACTGGGAATCAGATAGATCCAACACACATCACGCCATTGACAGAAAGTGCTCGAATCAGCATTAGGATCAGTCGAACCAGAGTCCGTCCTGAATCCCAGACCAAGGGCGTAGGCAATAAGAATACCGATAGTAATAGACAACTGGTTACAGGCACCCAAGGCACCACGAATCTTAGTCGGGGATACCTCGCCAATATACGTGGGAGTTACAACAGACTCCACACCAACAACGAAACCAATGAGCACACGCTCAAATAACAGTTGCCACGCAGTATGTGCCAATGCCTGCCATACGTAACACAGCAAGAAACAGGGAGAGCATCCCAAAAGAACCCACTTCCTGCCGAACTTCTCGATGAACGGTCCACCCAGAAGAATAGCACCTCCCATAGCACCAAGATTAACTAGTGAACCGAACAAAGAACCCAGTTGAGAGTTGTCGAAGACATATAGGTGATCATCGGGGCCCACTTGAATAGGAGTACCATCAGACGTAGTAACACTATTTTGCATGGTATCAATGGTCTGACCAGTGAACCCCAGAGTGAGACCGAACATAAGAGGTCCGAGGCATGAAGCAGCCACGGAAAGGCACGCACAGAGATATTTCATTTTGGACGGGCCAAACTTAAAAAAACCTTGAGCAAAAGGAATGAAAACCATAATCACTAATCAAGCTTCTACCAATGTTATAAACCGACACCCAAAACCATAGCAAAAAACTTCGTAAACTGACGCACTAACACAGAATAACAATTCTTCGACGACGATCTCATTCTAGCATAACTTAGATCATCGAGCAAGGCCTAAAAATCACAATCAAGCCGCCATCAATTGTAACGTACCGGAAGACTTACACTGTGTGAGTAACGCGTAGCTGCAAATCCTAGCTAGCATATCCATCAGCTTCGTGAATCTTAGTGGGAGATTCCTGTGCAAAATGTCCCGTATCACACAGCCTTGGGCGATGATAGTTGATGTGAGAATTTTCCGGTGAGTTTTCCGAGACTGTTGTTCCGAGACATAGTATTTACTTGTTCCAATTCTAGGAGGTACTTACTTAATCCTATCCAGCCATTCCAAGGTTAGAAAAATTTACAAATTCGGGAGCTGAAAAACTCTATCTTGTGTCTTGATTAAACTCATCGTGAAGTGACCATCTCATCATGCGATTCGGCGCGTGACCCGAAGGAACAAAATACAGTGCAGCTGATTATAGTGAATCCTGGAAACAGTAAAGGGTTAGTGAAACTGATCTTGTTACAAACCGTTATAATCGTCCATTGAAATCAGTGAAGAACAGCAAATAGGTTCTCCATTCTCTCGTGCTTATCGAGTCTCATCTATGACTCCATACACTTATTTGTTGAATTGTTCGGTGGCAGTTGGTGCGGATCAGAACCTTCTGGGAAGGAGCCAGCAATATCACTTGGGCATTGAAAAGCACCCGGGACTTCTGGACCACCAACGTCACGCGTTGATCATTACGCCAACTTCACATGGATACAACAATCACATTTTAAGCGGTTCTCAAGTAAGTCTCTTCCACATGGCACTAACTTGAGCTCATTCCACCTATGACATACTCAAAACTCAACAACCCTGCGATTCAATGTAGATTCTAGACAGTCGATTGTAGAGCGATACTCCTTCACCAGGAAAAAAGCCTGCCTAACAGTAACGATAGGTAGATGAATAAAATTATCTCACTTTGTAATCGGTATAAAAGTAGACAGCAAGAACAACGTGATGCAGCCTTAATCACCAGAATGAAGAAGATAAAGCTATAAATTGTGATTAGATAAACTTAGGTAACCTGAGGGTAGTAGTTGCTATAAGGATGTTAAGGTAAGGAAAATTCGATTGCATAAGATGCACTCTACTGAACAAATTGAACAAGAATCCGGATAGACTATATCTGCTACCCACAAATTCTACCATACAACAGTAATTGCTTGGTTATATGACCCAAGCACAAGAAACTAATGAATTACACAGCCTCATCCACCTTTTGCAGGCTGGATGAAGGAGAACCTTCAGTAGAGACTTTCATGTCGGTGTTATCACTGGAGGCTTCGACAGGCTGCTGATCCTTGTCGTCGCTGTCCATGGGCTTTTGACGGGTTCTGCGCTTCTCCAACCACTGGCAGTTTATTATATGACCCTCATCAAAGTAAGCCTGGATCACTTCGAATGATCGGCCCTTAGTCTCCGGGATGAACAACAGGACGAAGACAACCAAGACAAAACACATGAAGGCAAAACTCCAGAAGACTCCTTGATAGGTAATCGCCTCCCTGTAGTCATCCAAGAACATGGTGACGATCCAAGAAAAGAACCAATTCGTAGCGCTCGCGATAGAACTTGCAAGACCTCTCACCTCATTGGGGAAAATTTCGGACATGATCAACCACGGAATGGCACCAACACCAATAGAGAAGGATGCGATATACAAGAAGGCAGCGAACAGAGCCAACCACGCAATATCATTATCATCGATATCTTGCTCGAAGAAGAAGACACCCAATAAAATAGCAGCTATACACATACCAACTGCTCCCAATACGAGCAGGAATCTTCTACCAGCCATATCCATAACAATACAAGCAATGAACGTGACAATGACTTGCACTGCCATGACGGCAAGAGCCATGGACTCCTTATTATCCAACCCTGCAGCCTGGAAGATAGTAGTTTGATAGAAAATAACAGCGTTAATACCAGATAGCTGCTGTAACACTTGCAGAATAACTCCGATAAATAGCTGCATCTTAGCACGACCCAACGCGTGATAAGACCAAATGGCGGTATCCTTCCAGGTACCCTTAACGTTCTTGGCATTCTGCTCAGCCTCGGCCTCGTAAGCCTTAACCTCTTCCATAATCTCGGGATCCTCCTCAACTGTTTTAGAACCACGGAGTCTTAACAAAACCCTCGTGGCAGCATCGGCATGGTTATGCTCAGCCAACCAACGAGGGGATTCAGGGACAAAGAATACACAAATACCAAGGAGGGCACTGGGTATCAGATAGATCCAACTCACATCACGCCACTGACAGAACGTACTCGAGTTAGCGTTTGGATCAGTAGAGCCTGCATCCGTTCTGAACCCCATACCAAGGGCGTAGGCGATAAGAATACCGATAGTAATAGACAACTGGTTACAGGCACCCAAGGCACCACGAATCTTAGTCGGGGATACCTCGCCAATATACGTGGGAGTTACAACAGACTCCACACCAACAACGAAACCAACGAGCACACGCTCGAACAACAGCTGCCAAGAAGTATGAGCTAATGATTGCCATACGTAACAGAGTAAGAAACAGGGGGAGCACCCGAACAGAACCCACTTCCTGCCAAACTTCTCAATGAGAGGACCACCCAACAGTATAGCACCTCCCATGGCACCGAGGTTGACTAATGAACCGAATAGAGAACCTTCAGTAGTGTTACCGAATACCCAAAGGTGATCATCGGGGCCAACTTGAATAGGTGTACCATCACTCATCGTGACTCCATTTTGCATAGTATCAATCGTTTGACCAGTGAAGCCAGAAGTCAAACCGAACATCAATGGTCCAAAAAGGGACGCGCCCACGGAGATGATAGCACAAACATACTTCATAGCGAACGGAAGAAAATTGAAAAAAAACTGAGCACGAGAAGATACGTATTGCCCTATGAATATCAGCGATACACCAACAGACCAACTCCTATCAGCGAAAGAAGCCAGTAGCTAAAACCACTCGTGAAAACCGACGAACCAACACACTACACGAAACCCACCCAGAGCCCGAGGAACGATATTTCACACTAATGAAACCTGTACATCCTAGTCAATGGAATTCACCATAACTAACTAAGATTGCAGATAATGCGGAGCAAGTGGCACAAACTTTGGAATATTAGCTGGTAGATACGTTACTCTCTATGATACGGACTTCTTCAGCTCGAAGAATCTTAGGGGAAGGATTCTTGTGTCGAATGTCTCCTATCACTCAGCTCCAACTGATACAAGTCAACTCGACTTTATTCAATGAGGTTTCCTGTCTCGTAAGTCTACCAGGATTTTTTCAGTGCTATATGTTATGCATCAACTATCTTCATAAGCTCCGTCTGACAAGGAAGGTGCAATCGGATTATATAAGGTAGGTCATATCAACCTCTGATCTTTAGGATCGGTTTGAAGTCCTTTCCGCGAGGTCATTTCAGGGTATGTCCAAGATGACTTCGGCATTTTGTGGAAGCAAAGATCGGCACTTTGTGGAGGCAAATATCGACATTGATACTGTTACAGGAGGTAAGTGCCGATTGGGCAATACTTGGAACTCAATAACAACTCTTCTGTTCAATATGTATTTTGGACTAGAATGATGTTCGTTTACCTGGAATATACTCCACTCAATCGTAACGATGCGTTGATAAATAAAGATCATTCCTGTATGTAATCCTTGTAAGCTAACAGCGAAAACTAGAAGCAGCCGATCAAATTCCGATACTCGAAACAACGGAGATAACAAAGATACAAACTATGATTGAATAAACTTCGGTACGTAATAAGAATGAATGAATGGATATGTTGCCACCTGAATAGTAAGTTCAAGCCTTCGATGAATCGTGACTCTTCTCAAGGTCTTCTACGACGCCCAGACGAAAGGTCACGAGGAAGCTTCGATATGGAGATCAACCCTTACCTAGCTCGTGGCTGGTGGGCGCTCCAGCAAGACGTCGGATTCCCTGGCTCTACAAGGGAATACATCACAATGTAATGTATTTCTTTGTAGAGCCTGTGATGCTCACAGTGTCCCCGGGATGAAAAACTTCTTATAGACTACCTGCATCGATAACTATGACCTTCGCATAGAGCAAAGTACGCCGTACGACCGACGCCTAAAGCTTCGCTCCTTCTAGAGGTAGCAACACCAGATTCACCGATACCAACCGACCTTGTATGATTACTGATCTCGAGATGCCTCTTCAGCGAGGTTATGATCAGGGTGGCTGAAAATGGAAAGAATCGGCGACCTCATCGCCTTTGCCAAGGTCTTAGGATCGGAGCTGAGCTCTACTATCGCCCATGACAAGAGCTGTCGGCGAAACTGGGCAACTTGAGATGGTATAGGTTTGCATGCGTAGAAGTCTGTAATGCGAAGTGTTTGACCGATCCCAATAGTGGGAGACCGCTTCCACTTCTCAGGCGGACTTACGTTTGATGTAGTAGACCAGGTGTTCGAGCGACGCCGTTTGGTAGACGCGCTAGGCAATTCTTGAAGTAGGCCACGTTGGGTAGTGTATAGTTTTTCTGGCTCCAGAGCAAACTTAGCAGCCGAACCATGTGTTAATTCTTCATCGTCAATAGGGGTTGCCCGAAAGGCGCCAAGAGGAGTTCTTCCAATAAACTTAGTGGATACCACTGGGCTTTCATGTGCGGGCTCATGTTCTGGCGTGGCGCTTCTATTTTGAGGAACCTGTAAAACAGCTCAATCTAGGCACATTTGTTTCGCGATCCGCGACTATTCTCACTACATAAGTGTCGACGTGCATTTTGCTCTTTTGGTTTGTACTTCTGTCGCCGGGACGCTTTTGCCGCGAACGCCGCCTGTCCACTCTGAGTTTCTTTAAGAACTGTGCTACATATTCGTGACCCATCGTCATCTGTACCACTCCCCGGTGAGTGACAACGAAGTGCTCCCGGAACCGCTCGGGATTGCGCTGAAGATGGAAGGTATTACAGTTATCCATGCGGCACTTGTATACTTGTCTGGTAACTAAGGCAACCTTTTAGCAGACAAGACGATGTGCCCTATCATACCCGTATTTCCCTGAGTGGCTTGCATCTGACGCATCTCCGTGTCGAAATATGGCGTGGCGTCGAATTCGCGGGGGTCTTGACGTCCTACCATTACAAAGTGTGAACTGAAGGGAATTAAACCGAGAACGGTTCTCACAGAACCATGAAACCTGAAAAATACTATAATATTGTGGCATAATACTTTTAACAAGTTTCTACTAATTACTATAACATCAGTGCAATAGAAAGACTTGATAGTATCAAGTTGATACCATATGAGAATCTCATAATGAGATGATTTAATGTCATTGAATCATTAAATTAATGATAATCATCAATACTGATCACTGGTGATCAGTGATCAGTGATCACTCGCTGAGATATCTAGCAATGCCAGACTGGTATAATGGTTCATTACGCCAGATACATTACCAGGAGACTCCTGGTAGGTACCTTACTCCTGGCAGGAGTAAATTACACGAAATGCAATGATTTTACGATGTAATTGCTTTCGCAATCGTCCCGATACTATGCCGCAAAGTTTGCGGTCTACGATACTCTCCACCAAAAATCAATTGGAGGAAGACCGAGACATCGAGATGAAAGCGCGCGCGAAGCGCGCGTTAGACCACAGGGAACCTTTCCTTGGTTTCCTCATTCTTTCCTCATTTTTTCCTCTCTTTCCTCGGCTGAAAAGTTTGCCGTGATCCTTTCCGCGTTTCAGCCACCCTTGTTATGATATCTCTTTGCCGTTTGGGAGGCGGGAATACACCCAAATGGAATACACCGATACGGTAGAAGTTGGCGGATCTCTCATTGCGCGGTATTGACCACTTATGCATGCCGCAGATAGTACAGCGGACACGCATTTCGTGTCACGCAAGCTACCTTCATCCAGCTTGAAGGGTCCAATAGCGCCTACGCGCCTACGAGAATCTACCTCGCACTGGTGAGCAGAATCTCTCGCGAGAAGCTCGGTCACCTTGGCGGTGAGCGGATCTAGCTTTCCCGATTGAAAGACCATCGAGCTCCAAGCTCGGAGTTTGCCAACCCTGGCAGGTTTACCCTGCAGTGCTGCGCCGAGTGGGCTTTTGGGCCAGAAGCCAGAAGTCCAGCCTAAAGTTTTGGCGGTGACTTTGGCCTTGGGACTGGCATAGGAGTCGGCCTGGCAACTGGATAGATAGCCCTGGCATTCGGGTTGATATTAGACTGAAGTGTATCCTTCTGTATCTAAGAAGCGTCGCGCAGCATAATTGCATACGCTTTTTTTACTTCCTGCCATCCGAAACATCCGTTGTAACCGAGCATCCCAGCCTTCCACCACACTGCTAGAATATTGGAAAAACTATGTCTCATTCCTCGATCGCATTAATTACTGTCACCATGACACGTCAGTTGCTCAACGATAAGTTCACAGGACACACTGATACAGTAATATCTCAGCAAACTGACTAACGCAACCATTTTGGAGTATAACCAGTACTAGAAATTTCCCAACACAGCAAGGGGAGACGAGATCTCTTACTCACTGCAAATTGCTCTACACATATGACAACATCGCGACTGGACAAAGTGAAGCTACCTTCTGCCATCCTCCTCAGTCTTGTAATACGTATTCAACGCATTGAACGAGGATGAGGAGGCGGTACTTGACAAAGCGAGATGATTTGAACGCGAGATAGAACACTTCAGATGATAAAGTAAGTACAATAATAATACGTCATAGGAGAGCATCTGAACATCGAGCTCATTTGATATGCGCAAGCGACGCTGGCTGTTGTAGAAACACCAAGTATCGCTCACATTCGACGAGACCACGCATCAGTTACGGAAATCATTTACAGTACTGGCGGGCAATGCTCGGAGTAGTAACGTGAGATCGTACTACCAAGAAAATAAAGTTAAGTGTAATAAGGAACAACGGCTACGCCCGGAATGGAGTAGTCGGTCATTTTATAGTTACAACGGAGTCCTCGAGTCCACAATACAAACAGCATCGAAGATCTATGCGAGTCTATGCTAGTTTACGACGAACTACTCGTAACACCATTAGGAGGCGTAAAAGTCATCCCAACACAGCTTCCGAACATCACACCCGATGACATATCGGACGGTACATTCGAAAAGCTGTTTTTCGTCGGGAAGCTTAGACATCTACAGTAGTGGTAGGACTATGAGGAGTCTCTACTGCAGAGACCACCTTAGCTTTATCAGCATGCTTACGATGATACTTCTTGTCGAACTCAGCTTCAATCTGCTCGAAGGATTTACCCTTAGTCTCAGGTATGAAGAATAAGACGAAGAAGATCATCACTAAGCAGATGAATCCGAAACTCCAGAACACACCCTGATAGGTGATAGCCTTTCGGTAAGCATCCAAGCACATGGTGACAATGAACGAGAAAAGCCAGTTAACGGCAGTGGCGATGGCGGCAGCGTTACCTCTGACGTCGTTGGGGAAGATCTCGGACATAATGAGCCACGGGATAGCACCAACACCGATGGAGAAGAAGGCGATATAACAGTAGGCAGAAGCCAGAGCCAACCAGCCAACGTTAGTCAAGCCGGTGACATCCTGTAGATAGAAGAAAAGACCCAACATCCACGCGGATATGCACATACCAGTAGCACCCACAACCAGCAGGACCCTCCTGCCAGCGAAGTCCATGATGCAGCAGGCGATGAAGGTTACAACGACCTGGACTACCATGGTAATGAGAGCCATGGTTTCTTTGTTAGAGATACCCGCTGCCTGGAAGATAGTAGTCTGATAGAAGATGACCGCATTGATACCCGACAACTGCTGACAGATCTGCAGCACGACACCGATGACGACCTGGATCCAGTATTTGCGAAGACCAGATATGGCTTCGTTGAAACGCTGCTTCTGCGTCATACCAGCCTTAGCCTTCTGAGCCTCAGCGGTAACTTCGTAAGCTTTGAGCTCCACAGCTACGTCCGCATCGTTCTCATCGGTACCATGTAGTCTCAACAATACCTTTTTCGCGGCATCCAATCCACGATGCTCCGCGAGCCAACGAGGAGATTCGGGGACGAAGAATACAAGGACACCAAGGAGACCGGATGGGATGAGGTAGATCCAGCTCACAGCACGCCAGTTGCAGAAAGTCTGACCGTCGGCATTGGGATCCACGGACCCAGCCTGAGTCCGGAAGGCCATACCCAAAGCGTAGGCAATGAGAATGCCAATAGTAACAGCCAACTGATTGGCAGCACCGAGCATACCACGAATCTTAGTGGGAGAAGCCTCACCAATGTAGGTGGGGGCAGCCACGGACTCGACGCCAACAACAATACCGACAAGAACACGCTCGAAGAGCAACTGCCACGAAGTGTGGGCCAAAGCCTGCCACAAGTAGCAGAGCACGAAGCAGGGGGAAATACCAACAAGGCACCACTTCCTTCCAAACCTATCAATGAGGGGACCACCAATGAAGGCACCAAACATGGCACCGATGTTCACAAGAGATCCGAACAAGGAAGACTCGCTCGAGCTGTCGAAGACCCACAAATGGTCAGAACCACCAATCTGGATAGCAGTACCATCGTCGGTAGTGACACTATTTCCCATAGTGTCGATAGTCTGACCAGTGAAACCAGATGTGAGACCAAACATAAGTGGACCCAGGAGGACCGCACCAACAGAAAGTATAGCACAAACGTACTTCATAAGTAACAGAAATACAAGTAAACGGGAACTGAGGAAGGAATTGGCAGTTTTCATGCATCCCGTCTATCATATCCATCACCACCATCATGGTGGTGATGGATATGATAGCCGGGATGGTGACACCATGTGTATTCTTTAACACCTCTCCCTACACCTGACCCGCCCTAAGCACGATTAGTAGTGCGCGACAACACAACTCGAACGGTTTTTGTACAGCGAAAACTAGAAACTCAGGATACACCAAGACAAGTTTTGAACCCCCGACAATGGATTCTATTGGTCTGTTAGCGACGATTTCACCGTCAACTTCTTAGAAAACGAAGTTGCCTTTTACCCTCACCCTCGATCTCCGACACCAGCAACGTGCTCCACGTGCTGAGCGGAATATAAGGAAGCGGTATACGGCTCAACAGGCTCAACTGAAGCCTGACCGAGAGAATTCGATCTACCTGACTGAAAGAGGCCTCAACTCGAGAAGTCCGACCCCGGTCCAGTAGAACCGATGAACTAATCATAGGAACGACAGATAGTAAGTATTGGATAATATACCCAAAATGCATATACACACTGAGTAGTGCGATTGTTACTAAAAGGGTGGATACCACAGGAACAATAAATTGTACAACGTAATGATATCATCTTGATGTATAGGACCAAGGATGAAGTCACCACCGGAACCAAGTGACAGTGCCGCATTCTCACGACGAATCACCCAGAGGAAAACACGTAGTCATGCACGAGCCACAACAGTTCTGGCAACCCTGCCAAATCATATAAAGTAATCACAAGAAGATAATGGAAGGTTACAGACCACTTACAATGACGACAGGTAGTAACTTCAACAAGAACGGAACACCTTGAAATCACGCATGGTCATAATAGATGTTTTTGGAGGTCCTCAACGGTAAATAACAGACAAGACATCGGCTCCCGATGAGCTTATCATCAAGAAACCACTGAGAATATGCAGTTAGAATAATCCCGCTAGTTCGGAACGTCGTCGATTTAGGATCAACGGAGACATTTCGGTCATATCCAACGTGCTTATACGGCTGCGGAGGAGGAGGTAGGGCTTAGCGTAGACTCGCCAGCCTCATCCACGGAGCCGTCCGTACCAACAGCAGCAGCCTTGGCAGATTTCGCAGCTCGCTTCTGATGATACTTCCTCTCAAATTCGGCTTCAATCTGCTCGAAGGATTTACCCTTAGTCTCAGGTATGAAGAATAAGACGAAGAAGATCATCACTAAGCAGATGAATCCGAAACTCCAGAAGACACCCTGATAGGTGATAGCCTTTCGGTAAGCATCCAAGCACATGGTGACAATGAACGCGAAGAGCCAGTTAACAGCAGTGGCGATGGCGGCAGCGTTACCTCTCACATCGTTGGGGAAGATCTCGGACATAATGAGCCACGGGATCGGGCCAACACCGATGGAGAAGAAGGCGATATAACAGTAGGCAGAAGCCAGAGCCAACCAGCCAACGTTAGTCAAACCGGTGACATCCTGTAGATAGAAGAAAAGACCCAACATCCACGCGGATATGCACATACCAGAAGCGGCGAAGACTAGCAACACTCTTCTTCCAGCGAGATCCATGATGCAGCAAGCAACGAAAGTAACCCCAACCTGAATGGCCATAGTAATGAGAGCCATGGTCTGCATGTTGGAGATACCAGCTGCCTGGAAGATAGAAGTCTGATAGAAGATGACCGCATTGATACCCGACAACTGCTGACAGATCTGCAGCACCACACCAATGACGACCTGGATCCAGTATTTGCGAAGGCCACCAATCGCATCGTTGAAACGCTCCTTCTGAGTCCAACCAGACTTAGCCTTCTGAGCCTCGACAGTGATTTGATAAGCCTTGAGTTCATCAACGACATCCTCATCATCCTCATCGGTACCATGAAGTCTCAACAGCACCTTCTTCGCGGCATCCAATCCACGATGCTCGGCAAGCCACCGAGGAGATTCGGGGACGAGGAAGACAAAAATCCCCAATAACCCAGAAGGAATGAGATAAATCCAACTAAGCTCTCGCCAGTTGCAGAAGGTACTACTGGTCGCATTCGGATCAGTGGAGTTGGCCTGAGTCATGAAACCAAAAGCCAAAGCGTAGGCAAGAAGATCACCAATAGTACAGGCCAACTGATTTGCAGCACCGAGCATACCACGAATCTTAGTGGGAGAAGCCTCACCAATGTAGGTGGGGGCAGCCACGGACTCGACGCCAACAACAATACCGACAAGAACACGCTCGAAGAGCAACTGCCACGAAGTGTGGGCCAAGGCTTGCCACAGATAGCAGAGGACGAAACAAGGGGAACACCCAACAAGGCACCATTTCCTTCCGAACTTGTCGATGAGAGGGCCACCGATGAAAGCCCCAAACATGGCACCGATGTTAACGAGAGAACCGAACAAGGAAGACTCGCTCGACCCATGCAATACCCACAAATGGTCATAATCACCAATCTCAATAGGAGTACCATCAGCGGTAGTAACCGTGTTGGCCATGGTATCAATAGTCTGACCTGTGAAACCGGTCGTGAGACCAAACATCAGTGGTCCCAGAAGGACCGCTGAAACAGAAAGTAAGGCACAAACGTACTTCATATAAGAGAGAAATACAAATGCAACTGAAAACGTCACCTTTAAGCTCCCTCACACACAGTTACCTCGACCTACTCTAACTCACCCACATCAACGTCATCATGCCTACTATACCTAGATGTCGTTCCCCATCTCGAAGACATATTTCTCTGATTAGAAACACAGACGTAGAGGGCCAAACTTTTCTGGGGAGACAGGGGAACACAAGCTATGCCAAGTCCAAGAGATACCCCCTCAGGCGGAGTCGGTCTCCGATACGACTGATGAAGGTTCATCACTACTCTCCAGCTATGCACGGTGCGGGTCTCACTCCCTCAAAGAGCATTTTTTAACATATCAGAACTCACACGATGAAACAGTCAGTGCTTCTCGAATGATGCCTTCTCTGAGCGAGGGGAGGCGAATTTTAGCTATGCACGCATGCACATCGCCCTCTCTCGAAGTCTGATCCAATTACTCGTGGCAACGCCGGGAGATATTGGATAAACGACGTGATATGGGGTATAACTACGTGAATGAATACTCATAACAGTCCAATGATGGTCAGAGTAAGCCTGTTTGAGCAACAAAATTGGCATTCTTGGGAGAGAGATCCCACCGAAAGGGACAATCTCGGGTAACGGATGACACAATAGCAGTTGGAGGGGGAGAAGTTCGCAGTCGCGATGGTGTTTTGCCGGAAGACTCTATCGTGGTCGTGGTGAAGGGCACCCATACTCAAGGAAACCACACGTCAATCCTCCCAACTACAGCGACCCGAACTGTCACGACAACTCAACCAAACGATTAGTAGTTTCCCCAGTGATCAGTGATCGCATGGCAAGTGAGGATCGGACAGCCCCATGACAGGGTTCAAGGAGAGGCAGTTGGCAGCACTACTCGTGGTAGGGTAATTTTTGTGCCAATTATGGGCAGTACATGCAAGGACTGCATCGTGAGGATGCTTCGTACCTTTCCTTGGCACGCGCGCACAGCACATCCTGGGCGAGCAGAGGCATACCGACCCCAATATTTGAGTTTCGATTCCCTCCTAATTCCTCATGCAAAGATTGAATTGTTACGGCTACAATGTTTAGGTGGTTAGCTTGCTTGCCTTCTCATCAACAGGTGGTTGGTTCGATTTCGGGTCGCGCACTGGAAATTTTGATTCACTTTTATCTGTCATTGGCTACCGAATTATGCACTTCCTGGAAGCTCAGGTGCAGGAAGTTCCTGCACCTGAGCATCTATACATTTCAGAAATCCGTTCGGCGAGTAAGGCTACCAATTCAGTGGATTGATGTCCCGGACATCAATTTAGCGGTGGGAGTCTGATAGGTAATCAACTTCGCGGATAAGGAAACCAATTTCATGCTGAGGGAATGCAATTTCACGAACTAGGACATCAATTTCGGGTTTGAGCTCTACCTACACACAAGAATATTCGTGCTGCTAGAATTGCGCAATGATGTGTGAACAAATCCTTTGCGCTGCGCAAAAGCATTCGAAGATTCTTGTGGGAAGTTGTTGGCCAGTTTGTCACCAGTGTGTCGCAATGGTTCTATCGCGCACTCATTTCATTCATGAACCTCGAAGGAGTCGTCATCGAGCAACTAGTCCAGAAAAAGGTTAGATGGGGCTGCTCAGAGTGAAGCGTTATCATCCAAACTCTACCCCGCAATCGAAGTCCTTGTACTCGTCCTTGTTGTGATTTTCTTTCCCGCTGAATTGGTAGCCTTACCCGCCAAATCGATTCCTGAAAGGTATAGTCCGTCTCTGGATCAATGAATTCCGTTGGGACGCGTGAAGCTGGACATACTAATCCGGAACGGAAAGGCTATATTTGCATTCAGAACTCTCCAATTCGCCATAGAATTCTCATATTCGCCTTAGGTCGATAGTAGGTTCACATTCGTGGTGATGAAATTCCCGACTTCGACTCTGGAGTCTTCATTTCATTGGACTGCCAATTTCGTCAAGTGCACATTGGAACCTTCAATTTGGTCCTTTTAGGGAGGTCGATTTCGATCCTGAGAACTTCAGTTTCGTGTTCACGGGGCAACTATGCCAGTGCTCCCATGCCAAAGATACACCACACTGCAACAGTTACAAGCTCATGCTCGCCTTCCGAATTGCCCCTCTACCATGGAACACTCAAATTCAACCGATGTTGACGCGAGGGTCGAGTCTGTGTTGATAGAATGCCCTCAGTACCGCCGTAGGACTGTTAATTTCGACAGCTATGCATTGGAGCATCCAATTTCGCGCCTTCTGCAGCACCAGTACGGATCTTGAACATATGAACGCGGTACTTCACAGTAACATCACAGCATCCTGATGATGCGAATCCTGCTTGGACACGGGAATAAGCCTATCTCGAATAGCGTTGCGGACTACTCCATTTTGAAGCCCCTCATAAGGATTTCCCCTCCTCCATCGTGAATGCTCGTAATGTGTTGAATCTGTGACGGCTGCCTTTTGAGCGTACTCGAAACCTCTGCGGATCGGTATTCTACTTCCTGAGCGGATACCCTAGTTCCTCGCGACACTCTATTGACTGAGAGGTATCTTGGCGTCGGGCAAAGCCGGTCTAACTGGACTGCCCGCGTTGCCCGGGTGGCCGCTGTCCGATGATCTAACTGTAAACCAAATTGTCGAGTTGCCCTAGCAGTTCGGGGTGCGGTAGCAGCTCGGAGAGCTGGCTTGTAGGTTCCCTCAGTCTGTGAGCGCTCGCTAACGACCACGATAGAAACCTCCAACTGAGCGTGATTGTTATTGTAGACTTCTCCCCTCTCAGCTCAGCTGTTGTGTAATTTGGTCCCCAACATTGTCCCTTTCGGTGGGATCTCTTGAATGAACGCCAAGTTTCTTGCCCAAATAGGCTTACCCAAAAACAGGATCGTGCAGCTACGGGTATCTATTCACGTTGTTATACCCTGCATTACGTCGCTCCTCGGATATCCTACGATGCTGCCACAAGCGATTCGTCCGAATCTCGAGAAAAGGCGATGTGCATGTTTGCATAGCTAAGATTTACCTGTGTCCCCTCTGGCGAAGGCACCGCTCGAGTATTCCCGACGGGCATATCGCAGGGTACGTTCGGAACGCTCTGTGGTAGAACACAATCTGCACTGTGCTCAGCTGCAAGCTAGTGATGAATCTACACCAATCGTATCGTAGACCGACACCGGATCGGCATAGCTTGTGTTTCCTTGTCTCCCTAGCGAGGTTTGCTTCTCTACGTCTGTGTTTCTAATCAGAGAAATATGTCTTCGAGATGGGGAACGACATCTAGGTATAGTAGGCATGATGACGTTGATGTGGGTGAGTTAGAGTAGGTTGAGGTAGTTGTGTGTGAGGGAGCTTAAAGGTGACGTTTTCAGTTGCATTTGTATTTCTCTCTTATATGAAGTACGTTTGTGCCTTACTTTCTGTTTCAGCGGTCCTTCTGGGACCACTGATGTTTGGTCTCACGACCGGTTTCACAGGTCAGACTATTGATACCATGGCCAACACGGTTACTACCGCTGATGGTACTCCTATTGAGATTGGTGATTATGACCATTTGTGGGTATTGCATGGGTCGAGCGAGTCTTCCTTGTTCGGTTCTCTCGTTAACATCGGTGCCATGTTTGGGGCTTTCATCGGTGGCCCTCTCATCGACAAGTTCGGAAGGAAATGGTGCCTTGTTGGGTGTTCCCCTTGTTTCGTCCTCTGCTATCTGTGGCAGGCTTTGGCCCACACTTCGTGGCAATTACTATTCGAGCGTGTTCTTGTTGGTATTATTGTGGGCGTCGAGTCCGTGGCTGCCCCCACCTACATTGGTGAGGCTTCTCCCACTAAGATTCGTGGTATGCTCGGTGCTGCCAATCAGTTGGCTGTCACTATTGGTGATCTTCTTGCCTACGCGTTGGCTTTTGGTTTCATGACTCAGGCCAACTCTACTGATCCGAATGCGACCAGTAGTACCTTCTGCAACTGGCGAGAGCTTAGTTGGATTTATCTTATTCCTTCTGGGTTATTGGGGATTTTTGTTTTCCTCGTCCCCGAATCTCCTCGTTGGCTTGCCGAGCATCGTGGATTGGATGCCGCGAAGAAGGTGTTGTTGAGACTCCATGGCACCGATGAGGATGATGAGGATGTTGTTGATGAACTCAAGGCTTATCAAATCACTGTCGAGGCTCAGAAGGCTAAGTCTGGTTGGACTCAGAAGGAGCGTTTCAACGATGCGATTGGTGGCCTTCGCAAATACTGGATCCAGGTCGTCATTGGTGTGGTGCTGCAGATCTGTCAGCAGTTGTCGGGTATCAATGCGGTCATCTTCTATCAGACTTCTATCTTCCAGGCAGCTGGTATCTCCAACATGCAGACCATGGCTCTCGTTACTATGGCCATTCAGGTTGGGGTTACATTCGTTGCTTGCTGCATCATGGATCTCGCTGGAAGAAGAGTGTTGCTAGTCTTCGCCGCTACTGGTATGTGCATATCCGCGTGGATGTTGGGTCTTTTCTTCTATCTACAGGATGTCACCGGTTTGACTAACGTTGGCTGGTTGGCTCTGGCTTCTGCCTACTGTTATATCGCCTTCTTCTCCATCGGTGTTGGCCCGATCCCGTGGCTCATTATGTCCGAGATCTTCCCCAACGATGTGAGAGGTAACGCTGCCGCCATCGCCACTGCTGTTAACTGGCTCTTCGCGTTCATTGTCACCATGTGCTTGAATGCTTATCGAGAAGCTATCACCTATCAGGGTGTCTTCTGGAGTTTCGGATTCATCTGCCTAGTAATTATCTTCTTCGTCTTATTCTTCATACCTGAGACTAAGGGTAAATCCTTCGAGCAGATTGAAGCCGAATTTGAGAGGAAGTATCATCAGAAGCGAGCTGCGAAATCTGCCAAGGCTACTGCTGTTGGTACGGACGGCTCCGTGGATGAGGCTGGTGGCGATTCTACCCTGAGCCGTACTTCCTCTGCAGCGGTATAAACACGTTGGATATGACCGAAACGCCTCGGTTGATCCTAAATCGACGACGTTTCGAGCTAGCGGGATATTCTAACTAAAATTCCCAGTGGTCTCTCGATGATAAGCTCGTCGGGAGTCGATGTCTCGTCTGTTCTTTACCGTTGAGGACCTCAAAAAACATCTATTATGACCATGCGTGATTTCGCGGTGTTCCGTTTTCGTTGAAGTTACTACCTGTCGTCATTGTAAGTGGTCTGTAACCTTCCATTATCTTCTTGTGATTACTTTATATGATCTGGCAGGATTGCCAAAACTGTAAGTCATGCGTGGTGCATGACTACGTGTTCTCCTTTGGGTGATTCGTCGTGAGAATGCGGCACTGTCACTTGGTTCTGGTGGGAACTTCACTCTTGGTTCTATATATCAAGACGATATCATCATGTTGTATAATTTATTGTTCCTGTCTTCCGTTGATGGTATCCACCCTTTTAGTGACAGTCGCACTACTTAGTGTATATATGCATTTTGGGTATATTATCCAATACTTACTATCTGTCGTTCCTATGATTAGTTCATCGGTTCTACTGGACCGGGGTCGGACCTCTCGAGTTGAGGTCTCTTTCAGTCAGGTAGATCGAGTTCTCTCGGTCACGCTTCAGTTGAGCCTGTTGAGCCGTATACTGTTTCCTTAGATTCCGCTCAGGACGTGGAACACGTTGCTGGTGTCGGAGATCGAGGGTGATGGTTAAAGGCAACTTCGTTTTCTGAGAAGTTGACGGTGAAATCGTCGCAAACAGACCAATAGAATCCGTTGCCGGGGGTTGACAAACTTATCTTGGTGTATCCTGAGTTTATAGTTTTACCTGTATAAGAAGCTGTTCGAGTTGTGTTGTTGAACTACTAATCGTGCTTAGGGCGGGTCATGTGTTGGGAGAGGTGTTAGAGAATACACATGGTGTAGTGGTGAGCGTGATAATCGGGCTTATGTTGTAAATTGATCGGTCATGAATTCTTGTCTATCCAAGCACACAAACTACGAACACAACATATCCAAGGTTGTCAACTTAGCAGCACGATGCTGCTGCTAATATTCAACTGCCACACGAGGCATGTTGCTTGCTGTTGCTACACATGCATTGCCACATCAAGTTCTTTACAGTGGACGGCTCGCACCAAATTTGGCTTTTATATGTGGCCCTGAGACTGTCGAATTCAACACTTCGCTTCGGGAAAGTCTCACCTCCGCGAAGCTGTAGTGAGCCTCCAGCAGAAACCCTCAGGCGGAGCAACCACATCATAGCCGCCGCGGCAGCGACTCTGGTCGCTCCTGAACCCGTTGCAGCGGTGACCAGTCGACTCGCTACACCTCGTGGATGAGAAGTGCTCTCAGTACCCGACAGTGAACTTGTCTGCTCATACGAGTTCACAGGCATAATAGTAGATCGAACTCACTTTGGTTTCCCGCATTTCATTGGTCAACACGGCGCGACTGAGCAGCATACGAGCTGCGCCTTGCCACTTCTTATGGAGGAGCTCCAATTCCTCCGTCTTTTGGTGCAGTTCTGACTCCTTTTCCCCAAGCTTATTGTGAGCCTACCGCGAACGTTGATACAAAGCATTCGCAGCGACCTCACCTCTTGCAACTGCTTCCTCAGAGTCGACGCTTGTTGTCGCAAATTGTATAACTCCCGAGCAGCATATGCTACCGCGCCGGCTACGACGGTTGCACCGACTACATGGGGTAGTCGGCCTGAGCCACAATGAACGAGTTCGATACCCTCCGCTCTTCCATTCGACCCACCCTGAGTTAGCAATCCAAATGACGAGGCTAACCGAGACTTCAGACGCTCCTCATTGACCAGCCCGAGAGCACCATGGCTGAGATCTCCACCAATTCGCAACGAGTCACTTAAGCACTTTTGCTCACTCTATAGAGACGCTAGTGATTCTCGTTCGGTTGTCGAGACTAGGAGTCGTCATCGAATGGGAAGGAATATTCAACTCATCACATTGCCACTCGCGTCCATCATTAACCAGAACTGTTCGTATCCTCTCCAATACAACAGATGAGGAATGGTAACGTTTCACTAGCAAAGATAATGGCCGTTATCGAGCACCGAACAACAGCCCATCTTGCCGGTATTGAAGTAGAGCTGAAGCTCCTCGTTAGTGTCGTCCAACTGAGTCCAAGACGCGACTAATGGTGACAAATACTGGAATATGCCTTCCAGCATTTCCGATAAAACTTTTCCTCGGAAGCGCAGATGATAAGCCGACTGTAGCTCGGCCGAGTTGTAGAAAACTTCGGTGAATTCCTGACGAAATAAATAACTGAAATAGTCGTTTCTGATTGCTCTACTTCACGTTCTTCAATGAGTATGCCGAATGGAGAGTCCGTCGCCATAAGGAAGATCTCCTCAAGTGCTCGTCTGTAGCCTGAATGACACCAAATGAGGCGAGCAGTGAAGAGCTCTACAGGACGGCTTACGTTTGAGCAGATCTCCTGAGCGCTGCCACGCTTCCTGTGCACGCAGATCCTCCATCTCACGCTGCTTCCTCACGGTGCACCCCAGAGCCAGACACGCCAACCGACGATTTGCCAGAGCGATACCGTTTGGCAGACGACGAATCTGATTATCAATAACTGGACTCAAAAGGAATCCTCCTACCCTCGGGACGGCCGAGTCTGAATCCTCGAGGACATTCGCGATTTTCTTGGACAGTAACGGCTGATTGAAGTTCGATGAGTCCAATTCGGTCGGGTCGAAGAGGAGGAAGTCGAGAATTTGGCCAAGTATGGAAGGGCCCAGGACCATAAGTTCAATCGTCATTATGCCTTTATAAAGTAGTACTACGACGGTACTAGCCAGTTGCTACGGGGTGTTTAGCCACCCCGGGCTCCTGTGAAGTGCAAAGACCGCCTCCTCCCACAACTCAATAGCAAAGGAGGAGCACAGACGCCGACAAAGGAACACGTGAGACATGAGAACAACAACATGACTATTAAACAGATTGCCGAGGAGGGTGTAGCCTCCACAGTAGAGAAGCTCAATCAAGGTCCACCATTTTAGGCAAGTCGTCAATCGTCCACGTAGAAGTGCCTATGACATCACCCCATCGTTTACACAACAAACTGCTGCAGCCTTACCGGAGAGTATTCCAACGTCTTGAACGATTCGAAGCTTCTTATTGTCACCGAATGATGTGCCTTGCAGGTCCATCAACTTGGCAACTCCACTAATGTCCTCAACTCTGACAAACCCATAACTGAAAAATATGTCTACGAACCACAAATGAGTAAAGCAAAGGTCCCACCCGCGAGGCTTCATAGTGATAGGGCACACGAGGACTCGACATTCGGTGATTTCGATGATACCGTTTGTGTCCATCAACCAATCAATGAGCCGTTCTTCATCCATATCTGCTCAACGGGCTCGGCATTATATCTCCATGCCAGGCTCACTAAGAGGTAGATTCTCAAGCCTCACCCCTAGGGGGCCCGACTTCTTCTTCTCGCTTCCCCAATGGCCTTTCGTTGTAGGCGTGTCTGAGTGGGAACGTCCGCGCCATGGCTCTCTGTCTACTTACCCGTAAGAATCATCTCTACTCTCCTCATACTCTTCTTCCTCTTATTCCGAGCGGCAGGTAACAGACTTTGACTCAGCTCAAGATAGCCGCCTTGTTTCGCGATATCCGATGCAGTTCGACCTGAAAGCATATGAATACACCGATGCCTCGACAAACATCACTCACCTTTCTTATCTTTGTCACTACAGGCGCCGCCAGCACAGATGAGAAGATCAGCCAAGTCCGAGCGGCCCACATCAGCGCAGTGCATCAAGGCGGTCCAACCTCGACTGTCATCAGCATGCTCCAACTGACCATAGCATAGCAGCCATCAATGGGCCAGGACTGCCCTTACTGGGTCGACGTCGTCCACTCGAGAAGCCCCCGTTAAAGTCTTGAGGAAGGCCCGTAGGTTAGCCGCCGTCACTCCTTGGGCCCGTATGAGTAGCATCAGTGCAGAGCGACCCTCTTTGTCAGTCGCCATCAGCCTGACAGAGCTCCTCCTCATCATCCAAGCGACGAGTAATAGGAGAGGACACACGCCGCATTCCTTTCCTCCTCTACTGTGTGTTGATAGATCGCTAATGCCGTCCCTGAGAACCCCCCGGCGCATGCTACAAGAATCTGTCGAGATAAATAACTAATAATAAATCCCAGGATGGAGTACAGCGTTCATCCCTCGACTATCGACAATATGAATCGGATGATGACCTTTTACACCCGCCGGCGCCGCGAACGCCTTCCTGTTGAGGATCGCCAAACACGATTGAGTCGCTCCACTGAGGGGAAGACTGAAAGGCAAACCTTTGCTGTTGGCGAGACTCACCAGTCAGCTGCATAAAGGAGGGCCGTCTGCCCCTCCGAGGGATCGACATGAGCCGTGATGAGGGAACCCTCGTTGGAGGCTTCCAATGTGTCGATGGCCACCTCTACTGTCGATCGGACATTAGATTTTATGGCGAGTGACAGAAGCGTGTCACCTATCACCATCCATTAGGACTGGTCAGATAACCTCCTCTGTGGGCCTACCCGTGTAGGATTCCTGATCGGCCACCCCTCCGGCCCTGATGAGCATAGCGCAGATTTCGGCGTGCCCCGAAGCTGCTGCGAAATGCAGCGGCGTCCAACCGCCCAGCCGCTCTCGAACATGCACGTCTGCAATGAGTTTAACAATTTGGTTGATCCGATCCTTGGCAAGTCCCACCGGCCCCCGTCTCTAATAATATACCAGCAAGTATAGTGAGGCCCCTGAGGGAGGCCCACATTAACGCCGACATCTTCCCCCTCTCGAGATCATCGTCTAATGTGTCAGGGCAGACACCAGCCTCCAAGCAATCTCGCATCTGCCAAGCCTCCTTTCTCCTCCTCCTCTTTAACCTGCCGCAGCGACTCACCAGTCCAACTTGTCCCTTTTGCTCATCCGCTGATACCCCGCATGTCTTCACGATGTATAATAGTCTATTACGACGACCACTACGACGAGGCAGCCGTCATCACCGTCCCACCTCTTCTTGGCCTCGACTAGGTTGAGCAGTTCCGTACGGATCTTCAGTAGTGCCTCCTTCTTGGCCGTCAGCTCCTCCTCCTCCTCCGACTGCTGCTGCTGCTCATCATCCAAATAGAGCAGATCCACGGCGAGTCGAGGATCAGCGCCTGTGGAGACCTCAGATGGAGACCTCCTGCTGATGTATTTCACATCACCTCTCGCAAGAAGTAACTTCACGGCATCCATTGATCCATCCAAGGTCGACTTCAATAGTCTCATCCAATGTGTGTGGTTGTCGGCACCATACTCAATAGCATCAGCGTCGAGTCTATCTACCATAACAGCCCTGATGGGAGCAGACCAACGATGACTTACTCGGCTCTTGAGTGATGAAGTCCCGACCTTCGTCATCATCAACAACACCAGCTGCAATCAGCTGCCTCATACCAACTATGTCGCTCTTCTTGGCCAGCCTAAGCAGGGGCCTTTAAGACTACAGCCCAACTCGAGTGTACCTCCAAAGCTGACGATCAACGCAAGAGGCTGCGTGTAGCCACTCAATGGCCTTCAACTGACGCTCGACTACAGCAGACGAGTCGAGGCAATCGCCACGACCACGACTCACCAGCTTCTACCGGCGTTTGACCCCAAAGGTCTCTCATGTCAAGACGGCATCCAAACTCCCTTACCAGTATCATCACCTAGAAGACCTCCAAAGCACAAATGGTAGTAGTATCGCTCACCGTGCTCAGCTTGCCTTGTCGAGCCGCCCAGTGCAAGGCGGTCTGACCCTCCACATCCTGGGTGTCGACTCCTCCATCATGGTCATCACCTTCCAGTCCTCCAATGGTAACCTTATCTCTGAACGTAAGGCTGCCAACACTAACGTTTACAGACCCTACGAGTGGCTTATAGTGGCAGCCAGGAGCCTCACACAGTCGTCATGTCCATGGACGGCGGCCCAGTGCAACGGAGTCCATCCTCGACAGTCGGGGTGCTGAAAAGGGAGGACCATCCAAACGTTGGAGGGGGGAAGCTGTTCTTACTCCGACATCGGCTTTGGCTTCAACCAGTAATTTGGCCATACTTGTATCTCCTCGTCGACTGGCGACCTGATAGCGAGTGGAAACAAAACGCAGCCCTTCAAAGAGGCTCCTACTGAGAGAGCGGTCATTTGCTCTTCATTCGATGGAGCATCTATGAGCAGGTGAGGACCTACAAATGCTCTTACTATGGATTGAACCTGGGACCTATCGATACCCTCAGCAGCTTCAGACCGACGCAAACTGTCGTGTCGTGCGAGGATCCTCAACAAGCTCTCGTTGTCCTCTCCTTGACGATGGGCCGCGATCATCGCCAATGACCAGCCGAACTCATCACGGCACCTGTAAGGGCATCACTTCACGACTGCCATCCGTAGAGGCAACCCCAGCGGGTCTCAGGACCACTCACTCCGCGATCTTCTCTCGATCGACGTCCTGCAGGAGAATATCAAATGCTATTGAGTCTCCCTTGCGGCACGCGACAATAACGGCTTCCTCGTCTAGCAGTTTGTTGTAGCTACAAGAATATTCCAACTTGACAGACGCCACGTGAAACTACGCGGGGGGTGGGCCCGAATCCCGATTGAGTTGAGGTTTATCTATTATCCTCGAGGCCCTCCCACTCGGCACTCTCGACTCCCTTCTACTCTTCGCAACAACTGATCGTCTGCTTGGCCGACGCCCTATCGGGCTGAGTAGCAGATGAGTATTGACATGCTACAGACGGCGCGGATTATTCGATTACTTTTGGGTGCCGCTTCGACGCTTTATACCAAAGCCTTCGGTATGACTAAAACTCACCTTCGTCGACATTGCCGGAGAAACAGAGTTCCATCGATTGAAGTCTGTTGATTGACTAACACAGCGAATGCATAATACGGAAACGTGTAGTAACGTGTCACCAATAGAGATGCATTCGGCCTCCTTCTATCACTGGCTTTACAGGCACGACTTCGTTAACGTCGGCCATACGCCATACCCGCCCATCAGCTACGATCGGTACAAAGTTGTCTTCAGATGGATTAGCAGAATCAGGCTCATACCTAGCGAGGGGCTGAATAAAGGGAGGGAGGCTGAGCGCCATACACCATGCCGGCCTCCATGATGACCATATGTTCTGCTACAGGGCCAACCTCACTCGCTGATGGGTCGGGATCAGTTCGACTGCCGAATAACTGAGGAATCGGGTCTCAGGACCCATCCTGAAGAGACCTGCCTCACCGCTTCCCCGTGACGGTCTTCGACCCAATAGGACTCTCTTACACTAACCGCAACGTGCATCCTGGCGACCAAACCTAGGCAGTCTATGGTCTAAAGTAATTGTCAACGCCTGACTCTCACCGGCCTCCCTGGCGAGTTGAATAGCGTCTCGGAAGGTGTGCCGCTGCTCCGTGCAGTAGCGATTTCCATAAAGCCGAAATAAGTCCATCTGTGGATCTGACGGATACACACTGTCCCAATTGCTCAAGTTCGAGACGTGCCTCGGATAGTCGATTTGGGAGTAGAAAATTCCGACACGGAGGGATATGACGCGACGCGATGAGAGCCCTCACGCCAAGACGAGGAGCAAGGTGAAGTCTCACTCGTTTCCTTAGTCCCGGCTATCCAAAACTGCTTGTCTACGCGTGATCCCACGAACTTGTGGATCTTGAAACTGTGGCAAATATCGCCTGAGAGAATATACAAATGCCCGAAAGCACCAATAGGAAACATGTGCAAATTCAACTACAAATTCATCGAATGCTTTCAAGTATCGAAGTGCAGAAGAACAACATAAATTCACGGCTCCGCTAGCTCAGTAGGCAGAGCGTGTGGCTGTTAACCACAAGGTCGGTGGTTCGAACCCATCGTGGAGCGCTTTTCAAATAGGGCTCGGTATTTATATCGTCATGATAAGAACTGATGCAAGTTGAGACGAGAGCTCTCATATCCTTATCACGTGCCAAGGATAAGCTACTCCGCGTCATAGCAATAAAAGAAAGCGTCGACGCGAGAAAGTGTACTCGCATTCCCTCCAGGAGTTGAGTCCACACCGCTACCCTACCCCGCCTTGCCTCCGAGAGTACTCCTTGTATGTACTCCTCCATAGCGGGTGTAAAGCAGCCGAAATCACCTTTATCAATATCCCCAGAGCCTGTTCAGAACTGATCAAGTCAATGGTGAATTAGGAAGCTCACTTGCGAGGTCTGACAGCCTTTCGAGACAATGGTGTGCATCTTGTATGATTCCCTGAGGAGAGTTGAGGTGGCCACTACATTACGTGATTCACCCCCACAGAACTCCACAAGAGTTCCCATTCGAAGGAATAGGAAGAAGCAGCATTTGGCCATACACATGACATACCTTCTGCCAGCCCGTGTGGAACCATTTAGAAAAGCGCGTCTTCATGAACAAGCTCGGAGCAATCTCATGGAGCTCCGACACAACACTGCACGATGCATTGGCAGAGAGCTTATTGAGGAAGTGCATCCATGGGATGAACTCTGCCAGAGAAGGTCGGCCCAATAGGAGCGACATCTGGTTCAATTTAAAACTGCAATCAGTACATCCCTACTGGGAATGAACTACGAATGATGACTCGTCCAAGGAACTCAACATATGTCAAGTAGCACAAGGGAGTTGCATAAGGAACTCTGTCGACCACACAGCGAGCTGATGTAAAACAACCTTTAAAATTTCACGCTATCGCCACCACTATGAATGAACTCCCCCAGTGCTGACGACTACATTAGCGTCGGATGCGTTCCAATGATTCGCCTCAGTAGACGATGGTTTCGTTCGGGTACGCCAAAAGGTATGACGTCATAACTTGATGACGTCATCGGATATTCCCTGAGTGCCCCTCCCCTTCCATGACTACTCGAATGTATCCTCGAGGACGGGGGAGTTCGACCCTCGGCCCTCACCCGGCATCCGCCGTATGCTGCAACGACGAGAATCAGCTCATGCTCACTTTCTCGTCATTCCCATCGGCCGTCTTGAAGTACAGACCTTTGCTCCGGGGTGGATGTTACGGATTGAAGATCGTTCGACACCATAACATGAATACGCGATATCAGACTTACAACTATCTCCATCGTGACCGTCCACCAACACTCCTTCTTCACTGAATCTTAGTAGTAATTCCGCTTTCCCGATAAGTACATATTCATCCGGACGTGTGCAGAACTCTCACTCAGATAGGGTGTTCTTATCTCCGACGCGATATAACCACCAAGTTGCATATCCCTTCATTGCTGATGAGAACGAACTCACGAAAAGGTAAAAACCCCATTCCCACCCTTCCTGTGGAATGCACAGCTTTAAACCGGGCCCGCAATACTTGTTTTTAATGGCAACTATATTTCGGAATTCATATCCGATTGACTGCGGTACATCAATGGTGATATGGGCTCGTATAAAAATATTCCTATTCGTTTTATCCCTTTACTACCCAATAGGACTAAAGCCCGGCCGCAACTTTTCATTATAATCGAACGTTTCCAGAAGGATTCGTGGAGATTATTGTCGAATCGTACAAGGCAAGCCGAGGTTTTCGATAAGTGGGGTGCGAACATCAGTCATATCTTCTGTACCAAACGAGACGTAAGTTGCGCCTACCTGCTGATGGAAGAATTTCCATTTTCATCGCGCCACAAATTAACTGCGCATGATGCAATCGTGAGAGAACTATATTCTTGAATATGTATTAGCGCAAGCCGTTAGACTGTTAGGGTATGATGATGGAGGTATGAGGTTCGATTCCTCGTATCTACATTTAGACGAGTCATATGTCATGAGCAACCTTGAAGTTTGGAGTCGGTCGCTATCTGGGTCAGTTTGTCCGAAGAAGCGGCCGTGGAAAACATTTTCTCTCCCTCAATGATCATAAGAAGAGGTTCTCGACCTCCCTAATCAATGTGAGATGAGTTTCCATCGCCGTTTCCGACTTCGATGCAGCTCTGCTTTTATGATGGACACTATACCTCACGAAGGGCTGCACTACTCGGTGCCGCTGCTCTGTGGTGTCTTCACGTGCCAACAGGCGGAATGGAATTAAGGATGCCGGCTTCGATAATATTCGACAATACTCTCTATGAATCCTTTGGGGAACGTTTGTTTATAATGAATAAGTTGCGACCGGGCTTTAGTCCTATTGGGTAGTAAATTGAATTTATAATAATAATGTCAAGAGTAGCGGAGCCTAGTGTACTCCACATTGGGTCCCGACGCAGTGATTTAGCCCGGCTACAGACTTTGATGATTGCAGACTTGCTGCAGGATGAGATGGGGGTTAAGGTGATGCTCAATGATGGGGTCTTTTCTCCGTGCCACTTCGTATGCAAATCATGTTCCGCGAGGTATCTCGTCCCTGTCATAGGCGCTTTTCACGTCGGTTTACGTCCATCCCAGATCGGACCTACGAACAGTCTCGGGCTCTGGTCATCAGGTTGAATGTCATTACCGCGAAGCCCCGGGTGATACGAATTTAAAAGATCCGCTTTGGAAGATGCCGGAGACCGGTGTCTTCACCAGTTTCTTACGCGATGGGCTTATGAATGGTAGATTGGAGAAGCGAGTTCAATAAGTTCCTCTTCATCCACAGGTGCCTTCGATTTGGTGGTCCATTCATGGAAGGATCTTCCCTTGGCTGAGGAGTCCGGTACAACAGTAGTAGCCACACTGCCACGAGCCGACCCCAGGGACTTACTCCTCATACGTCGAGATGCTATCGAGGAAATGTGAGCAGTGCTGAACTGGTGTGTGGGTAGGTTGAGGCCCTTAGGACATCAGAAGGGGGCAAATTGATTGTGTTATCATCATCCCCTCGACGACAGTTCAACTTAACACCTTTCCTGGAGAGTGTGGTTCCTGGGGTCACCTCAGTTCAGTTCCGAGACGTTCGGGGGAACATCCAGGTGCAGCCGATGGGTTCCTCACCATATGAAGGCCTCCTTCAGACTCGTATGAGGAAGTTGATGGACCCGACCATACACGACGAGAGTCTTGGTTGTCGTCCCCATGGCTTGGTGGTGGCTAAGGCAGCAGTGGATAGGTTTATACGCAGTACTAGAGAGGAGTTCAAAGAGAGTCGGCAACTCGTACAGGGGTGAGGCTCTTATAATGGACGATGGAATTGTTGTTGCATATTTCTACCCTAAGAATCTTCACAACACATATTCCAATTGTAGAGATGGTCTTGTGTATAGATACATATCTGATTGCCGCTGTATGGTATTGCCTTTGTCTGCTAACCCCACTGCTGCAGCCCAGGGAGCCTTGGGTATTGAGGTCAGTACGGCACCGGAGAAGGAGCATGTTAGGAAGGTACTGCCGTTAGCCTCCCTTTGTTATGATGTGATTGGTAGATTGTGAGGAGTCTCAATGATCGGAGTACATTCGATGCGGCATCGAAAGAAAAGGAGCTTTTGAATTCGTAAGAAGGGGAGGAGGATACCTCAGACAATTATATGCGTCATGGAAGATACGGTGGAGGCTGCCATCAGAAGATCGGCTGTACCATCCTTCCTCGACAATATGGAGATGTGTTGTTCTTATGTGGCCGAACTGATAATGGATTGGACCTTCTAGACCGGCACATCAAGCCAAGGATACCTCTACTAGAGGACTTACATCTGAGGGAAGGAGAAGACCCTCCACCCCTACAGGTGAGGGGGGGGGGCAGATGGCCACTTCCACTACATTGTTGCTGTTCAGGTTGGTGGCGCTGGTGGATTGTCTTTATTCGATAGGGAAGAGGATCCACAGGCCGGCGTGAAGCTCATTGAAGCACTCAGGAAGGGAGATCGTGAGGTGGGGTGATGCCTGTGTTTAGTGGGGCCGTCTTGATTCGAAACTCTCCAATCTTGGGGAATTCTCCTTCCTTGTCTGTTCTTCCCCTTTGAAGACCTGCTGTTGCCCTCGTAAAGGGAATTCCAAAACTTCGTGATCAACTTTGAAATCTTGCTGTTTCGCGACCAACGATTTTCGTACTGCCAATTTTAATGGAATTATGAAATATATCATCAACGATGACCTCCTATAAAATAGACCTTTTGCTCCGCCACCACTTGACGTCGTGCGTCGAGAAGGCCCCTGACCACAGAAACCTTTCCCTCTTCGGAAACAGCTTTACCAAAGGTTATCGACCACCCTGACTAACATGGATCGCATTCCAAGGTTGTTCCCTATGGTCTTGATCGATGAGTTTCACCCTAGTGATATGAAGAACACTAGTGAAAAACATATATCGCGACTACTACATAGGACGAATCTCGCATTTTTCACGGAGTTTTACGCCACTTCACGTAAAACGGGTGAAACTCCATTGATACTTCCCCGCAATCGTTAGATGATAATAGGAGGGGCACAACAAATTCATAATCAGCTAAAGGTGTAGCTCCAATCCTGTAGGGTTCATGCTTGATGACATCTTATGTAATTTTACTAAATTTCTCAGAGGACTTTTCGATACAAAACTGTGAGGTTCCAGAGTCGACCTCGATGGTTTGGGACTCCCTTCATAATCAAAGATAACCCCAAGTCCGGAAACCAGACACACGTCGCTTCGCCGCTGAAAGGGACAGTCATCACACGGCGCACAAATCTAGATCAGCTCGCAGAGTGGAGTGATGCGTAGATAGTGCTTCCATTTTGCTATCCCGACGCGACATCCTAGCAATCTTGGAAATGCTGTCTTCAAGTCCGACTCTGCGTGGACCATCCTAACCCGTCTCTAGGCTCACTTGTTTCAAGTGTGGTAGTCTAAGAATGTTAACTCGGATCGTTAACCAGGATCCATATTTGACTGAACTATCTAAATGCGCATTGGACATGGACGTCTGCCCCAGTGATAGGGTATCCTTGTGGAGGATAAACCATCACGACATCAATTCAACTCGACATACCCTGTCGAGGAGTAGTTGGGTGATCTCATTAGGTGGGCCTTTGGATTGCCAAAGCATCGGCTTTACCGTCGTCCCCTACCACTCTAATAGAGTCCATCAATGAGCTCAATGTCCCAGTATGGGTTGCCGGCACCACCACTTGGAGGCACCTCGCTAAGCGTGGCCTCTGGTGCACTGGTATGGCCATCATCATCATCATCATGACAATCCTTATGTAGGTTATGTAGGTACGGCCGATGGTCTGGGGGAGAAGGAAGATCCTGATATCTCCGCTATTGCTCCAACCCTCAAGAGGTGGATAAAAGTCACACACTGTGACGCTGGTGAACGGCAACATGTTTCGAGTGGAGAGGCTCATCGGGTGAGCAGTCGGGACGATGTGTAGCCTTACGACTCACCATCATTACATATGCCCTGTTAGAGGAGTATCCCTCAGTTAACACGTAATTATCCTAATTGCCCCGAGTCGAATACACGGTCGTTAGTGAATCGCATATGCAATGCTCGTGTGATGGTCATCCAAATAGGCGTTTGTCGTTGGCAGTAATGGTATTACTCTCAGAAGGATACACTCGGCACATACACTCTAAAGTCGAAGTATACCCCTCAAACCTGTCCCTCTGATCTTAAGACGGCCACACATATATTCTGGGGAAGTGGCTCTGCGTATGCCGAGGCAGTGAGGTTGGTAGAAGACCTCAACAACAGAGTAAGGCAGGTGTCTGTTGGATGATGTGGGGGCGATTGTCTTATCCGTGAAGGAGGAAGGACGACTTTACTGTGCTGACGAAATATTGAACAATATTGATAATAATCCAGCATAGTTGCCACTTGTATAGGTAACGAATAATACAAACAGTAGGGTTACTCGAATGGTAGTTACTACAACTATCCTCTCGAATTGACTGCACCCTTCGACCTCCCCTCAGGTTGAAGTCCATGGTTGCGGTCCCGGCCATACATTTGATGCACTGCGAGATGCCGGCATTCCGGAAGAGAGAATAGTTATTGTTCTCAACTTCTCGGAGTTTGTCGATAGAGTGTATAAGCCGAAGACTCGATAGTGAAGGATTAGAATCTTCCCATTCCTCGATTAGTTTGACAGAAGTCTTAGGACGCTATCATGGTTACTCGTGATTTAAACTTGTGTTCTCAATTAGATGATATTTCGAGATTATGTGGTTACTGTTCACGCTCATCATTTGAGGCTTACTTCGGCCACTCACTCGTTATGGAATCGATCAATTTTGAAACCTCCCAATATCCCTTTTATTGTAGAAGGGGTTTGGAAGGTAATGTTCATCCTCAAGCGATCTCGTGAATGAAGATAGAAGGATGAAACGAATAGGAATATTTTTATACGAGCCCATATCGCCATTGATGTACCGCAGTTAATCGGATATGAATTCCGAAATATAGTTGCCATTGAAAACAAGTATTGCGGGCCCGGTTTGAAGCTGTGCATTCCACAGGGAGTGTGGGGATGGAGTTTTTACATTTTTGTGAGTTCGTTCTCATCAGCAATGAAGGGATATGCAACTTGGAGGTTATACCGCGTGGGAGATAAAAACACCCTATCTGAGTGAGAGTCCTGCACACGTCCGGATGAATATGTACTTATCGAAAAAGCGGAATTACTACTAAGATTCAGTGAAGAAGGAGTGTTCGTGGACGGTTAAAATGGAGATAGTTGTAGGTTTGATATCGCCTATTCATGTTATAGTGCCGAACGATCTTCAATCCGTAACACTCACCCCGGAGTCCTGGCATATCCGAACGAAACCACCGTCTACTGAGGCGAATTATTGGAACGCATCTGACGCCAATGTAGTCGTCAGCACTGGGGGAGTTCATTCATAGTGGTGGCGATAGCGTGAAATTTCAAAGGTTGTCTCACATCAGCTCGCTGTGTGGTCGACAGAGTTCCTAATGCAACTCCCTTGTGCTACTCGACATATGTTGAGCTTCTTGGACGAGTCATCATTTGTAGTTCATTCCCAGTGGGGCTGTACTGATTGCAGTTTTAATTGAACCAGATGTCGCTCCTATTGGGCCGACCTTCTCTGGCAGAGTTCATCCCATGGATGCACTTCCTCAATAAGCTCTCTGCCAATGCATCATGCAGTGTTGTGTCGGAGCTCCATGAGATTGCTCCGAGCCTGTTCATGAAGACGCGCTTTTCTAAATGGTTCCACACGGGCTGGCAGAAGGTATGTCACGTGTATGGCCAAGTGCTGCTTCTTCCTATTCCTTCCAATGAGAACTCTTGTGGAGTGCTGTGGGGGTGAATCACGTAATGTAGTGGGCACCTCACCTCTCCTCAGGGAATCATACAAGATGCACAATATTGTCTCGAAAGGCTGTCAGACCTCGCAAGTGAGCTTCATAATTCACCATTGACTTGATCAGTTCTGAACAGACTCTGGGGATATTGAAAAAGGTGATTTCGGCTGCTTTACACCCGCTATAGAGGAGTACATACAAGCAGTACTCTTGGAGGCAAGGCGGGGTAGGGTAGCGGTGTGGACTCAACTCCTGGAGGGAATGCGAGTATACTTTCTCGCGTCGACGCTTTCTTTTATTGCTATGACGCGGAGTAGCTCATCCTTGGCACGTGATAAGGATATGAGAGCTCTCGTCTCAACTTGCAGCAGTTCTTATCCTGAGGATATAAATACCGAGACCTATTTGAAAAGCGCTCCACGATGGGTTCGAACCACCGACCTTGTGGTTAACAGCCACACGCTCTGCCTACTGAGCTAGCGGAGCCGTGAATTTATGTTGTTCTTCTGCACTTCGATACTTGAAAGCATTCGATAAATTTGTAGTTGGATTTGCACATGTTTCCTAATGATGCTTCCGCGAATTTGTCTATTCTCTCAGGCGATATTTGCCACAGTTTCAAGATCCACAAGTTCGTGGGGTCACGCGTAGACAAGCAGTTTTGGATAGCCGGGACTAAGGAAACGAGTAAGACTTATCCTTGCTCCTCGTCTTGGCGTGAGGGCTCTCATCGCGTCGCGTCATATCCCTCCGTGTCGGAATTTTCTACGCCCAAATCGACTATCCGAGGCACATCTCGAGTTTGAGCCATTGGGACAGTGTCTATCCGTCAGATCCACAGATGGACTTATTTCGGCTTTATGGAAATCGCTACTGCACGGAGCAGCGGCACACCTTCCGAGACGCTATTCAACTCGCCAGGGAGGCTGGTGAGAGTCAGTCGTCGACAATTAGTTTGGACCACAGACTGCCTAGGTTTGGTCGCCAGGATGCACGTTGCGGTTAGTGTACGAGAGTCCTATTGGGTAGAAGACCGGCACGGGGAAGCGGTGCGGCAGGTCTCTTCAGGATGGGTCCTGAGACCCGATTCCTCAGTTATTCGGCAGTCGAACTGCTCCTGACCCATCAGCGAGCGAGGTTGGCCCTGTAGCCGAACATATGGTCATCATGGAGGCCGGCATGGTGTATGGCGCTCAAACTCCCTCCCTTTATCCAGCCCTCGCTAGGTATGAGCCTGATCCTGCTAATCCATCTGAAGACAGCTTTGTACCGATCGTAGCTGATGGACGGGTATGGCGTATGGCCGACGTGAACGAAGTCGTGCCTGTAAAGCCAGTGATAGAAGGAGGCCGAATGCATCTCTATTGGTGACACGTTACTACACGTTTCCGTATTATGCAATCGCTGTGTTGGTCAATCAACAGAGTTCAATCGATGGAGCTCTGTTTCTCCGGCAATGTCGACGAAGGTGAGTTTTAGTCATACCGAAGGCTTTGATATAAAGCGTCGTAGCGGCACCCAAAAGTAATCGAATAATCCTCGCCGTCTGTAGCATGTCAATACTCATCTGCTACTCAGCCCGATCGGGCGTCGGCCAAGTAGACGATCAGTTGTAGCGAAGAGTAGAAGAGAGTCGAGAGTGCCGAGTGGGAGGGCCTCGAGGATAATAGAGAAACCTCAACTCAATCGGGATTCGGGCCCACCCTCCGCGTAGTTTCACGTGCCGTCTGTCAAGTTGGAATATATTTGTAGTTACAACAAACCGCTGGACGAGGAAGCCGTTATTGTCGCGTGCCGCAAGGGAGACTCAATAGCATTTGATATTCTCCTGCAGGACGTCGATCGAGAGAAGATCGCGGAGTGAGTACTCCTGAGACCCGCTGGGGTCGTCTCTACGGATGGCAGTCGTGAAGTGATACCCTTACAGGTGCCGTGATGAGTTCGGCTGGTCATTGGCGATGATCGCGGCCCATCGTCAAGGAGAGGACAACGAGAGCTTGTTGAGGATCCTCACACGACACGACAGTTTGCGTCGGTCTGGAGCTGCTGAGGGTATCGATAGATCCCAGGTTCAATCCATAGTAAGAGCATTTGTAGGTCCTCACCTGCTCATAGATGCTCCATCGAAGGAAGAGCAAATGACCGCTCTCTCAGTAGGAGCCTCCTTGAAGGGCTGCGTTTTGTTTCCACTCGCTATCAGGTCGCCAGTCGACGAGGAGATACGAGTATGGCCAAATTACTGGTTGAAGCCAAAGCCGATGTCGGAGTAAGAACAGCTTCCCCCTCCAACGTTTGGATGGTCCTCCCTTTTCAGCACCCCGACTGTCGAGGATGGACTCCGTTGCACTGGGCCGCCGTCCATGGACATGACGATTGTGTGAGGTTCCTGGCTGCCACTATAAGCCACTCGTAGGTTCTGCACACGTTAGTGTCGGCAGCCTTACGTTCAGGGATGAGGTTACCATTGGGGGAGTGGAAACTGATGACCATGATGGAGGAGTCGACACTCAGGATGTGGAGGGTCAGACCGCCTTGCACTGGGCGGCTCGACAAGGCAAGCTGAGCACGGTGAGCGATACTACTACCATTTGTGCTTCGGAGGTCTTCTAGGTGATGATACTGGTACGGGAGTTTGGATGCCGTCTTGATATGAGAGACTCTTGGGGTCAGACGCCGGTAGAAGCTGGTGAGTCGTGGTCGTGGCGATTGCCTCGACTCGTCTGTTGTAGTCGAGCGTCAGTTGAAGGCCATTGAGTGGCTACACGCAGCCTCTTGCGTTGATCGTCAGCTTTGGGGGTACACTCGAGTTGGACTGTAGTCTTAAAGGCCCCTCCTTAGGCTGGCCAAGAAGAGCGACATAGTTGGTATGAGGCAGCTGATTGCAGCTGGTGTTGTTGATGATGACGATGGTCAGCTGGTCATCACTCAAGAGCCGAGTAAGTCATCGTTGGTCTGCTTCCATCAGGGCTGTTATGGTAGATAGACTCGACGCTGATGCTATTGAGTATGGTGCCGACAACCACACACATTGGATGAGACTATTGAAGTCGACCTTGGATGGATCAATGGATGCCGTGAAGTTACTTCTTGCGAGAGGTGATGTGAAATATATCAGCAGGAGGTCTCCATCTGAGGTCTCCACAGGCGCTGATCCTCGACTCGCCGTGGATCTGCTCTATTTGGATGATGAGCAGCAGCAGCAGCAGTCGGAGGAGGAGGAGGAGGAGGAGGAGGAGCTGACGGCCAAGAAGGAGGCGCTACTGAAGATCCATACGGAACTGCTCAACCTAGTCGAGGCCAAGAAGAGGTGGGACGGTGATGACGGGTGCCTCGTCGTAGTGGTCGTCGTAATAGACTATTATACATCGTGAAGACATGCGGGGTACCAGCGGATGAGCAAAAGGGACAAGTTGGACTGGTGAGTCGCCGCGGCAGGTTAACGAGGAGGAGGAGGAAGGAGGCTTGGCAGATGCGAGATTGCTTAGAGGCTGGTGTCTGCCCTGACACATTAGACGATGATCTCGAGAGGGGGAAGATGTCGGCGTTAATGTGGGCCTCCCTCAGGGGCCTCACTATACTTGCTGGTATATTATTAGAGACGGGGGCCGGTGGGACTTGCCAAGGATCGGATGAACCAAATTGTTCAACTCATTGTAGACGTGCATGTTCGAGAGCGGCTGGGCGGCTGGACGCCGCTGCATTTTGCAGCAGCTTCGGGGCACGACGAAATCTGCGCTATGCTCATCAGGGCCGGAGGGGTGGCCGATCAGGAATCCTTCAGGGGTAGGCCTACAGAGGAGGTTATCTGACCAATCCTAATGGATGGTGATAGGTGACACGCTGCTGTCACTCGCCATCAAATCTAATGTCCGATCGACAGTAGAGGTGGCCATTGACACATTGGAAGCTTCCAACGAGGGTTCCCTCATCACGGCTCATGTCGATCCCTCGAAGGAGCAGACGGCCCTCCTTTATGCAGCTGACTGGTGAGTCTCGCCAAAAGCAAAGGTTTGCCTTTCAGTCTTCCCCTCAGTGGAGCGACTCAATCGTGTTTGGCGATCCTCAACAGGAAGGTGTTCGCGGCATCGCCGGCGGGTGTAGAAGGTCATCATCCGATTCATATTGTCGATAGTCGAGGGATGAACGCTGTACTCCATCCCGTTATTCATTATTTGTCATTCATCTCGACAGATCCTTGTAGCATGCGCCGGGGGATTCGTAGGGACGGCATTAGCGATCTATCAACACACAGTAGAGGAGGAAAGGAATGCGGCGTGTGTCCTCTCCTATCACTCGTCACTTGGATGAGGAGGAGCTCTGTTAGGCTGATGGCGACTGACAAAGAGGGTCGCTCTGCACTGATGCTACTCATACGGGCCCAAGGAGTGACGGCGGCTAACCTGCGGGCCTTCCTCAAGACTTTAACGGAGGCTTCTCGAGTGGACGACGTCGACCCAGTAAGGGAAACTCCTGCCCGTTGTTGGCTGCTATGCTATGGTCAGTTGGAGCATGCTGATGACAGTCGAGGTTGGACAGCCTTGATGCACTGCGCTGATGTGGGCCGCTCGGACTTGGCTGATCTTCTCATCTGTGCTGGAGGCGCGTGTAGTGACAAAGATAAGAAAGGTGAGTTATGTTTGTCGAGGCATCGGTGTACTCATCTGCTTTCAGGTCGAACTGCATCGGATATCGCCATACAAGGCGGCTATCTTGAGCTGAGTCAAAGTCTGTTACCTGCCGCTCGGAACAAGAGGAAGAAGAGTATGAGGAGGGTAGAGATGATGCTTACGGGTGAGTGGACAGAGAGCCATGGCGCGGACGTTCCCACTCAGACACGCCTACAACGAAAGGCCATTGGGGAAGCGAGACGAAGAAGTCGGGCCCCCTAGGGGTGAGACTTGAGAATCTACCACTTGGTGAGCCTGGCATGGAGATGAGATGCCGAGCCCGTTGAGCAGATATGGATGAAGAACGGCTCATTGAGTGGTTGATGGACACAAACGGTATCATCGAAATCACTGAATGTCGAGTCCTCGTGTGCCCTATCACTATGAAGCCTCGCGGGTGGGACCTTTGCTTTACTCACTTGTGATTCGTAAACATATTTTTCAGTTATGGATTTGTCAGAGTTGAGGACATTAGTGGAGTTGCCAAGTTGATGGACCTGCAAGGCACATCATTCGGGGACAATAAGAAGCTTCGAATCGTTCAAGACGTTGGAATACTATCCGGTAAGGCTGCAGCAGTTTGTTGTGTAAACGATGGGGTGATTGTCATAGGCACTTCTACGTGGACGATTGACGACTTGCCTAAAATGGTGGACCTTGATTGAGCTTCTCTACTGTGGAGGCTACACGCTCCTCGGGATTGTTTAATAGTCATGTTGGTGTTCTCATGTCTCACGTGTTCCTTTGTCGGTGTCTGTGCTCCTTCTTTGCTATTGAGTTGCGGGAGGAGGCGGTCTTTGCACTTCACAGGAGCTCGGGGTGGCTAAAGACCCCGTAGCAACTGGCTAGTACCGTCGTAGTACTACTTTACGAAGGCATAATGACGATTGAACTTATGGTCCTGGGCCCTTCCATACTTGGCCAAATTCTCGACTTCCTCCTCTTCGACCTGACCGAATTGGACTCATTAGACTTCAATCAGCCGTTACTGTCCAAGAAAATCGCGAATGTCCTCGAGGATTCAGACACGGCCGTCCCGAGGGTAGGAGGATTCCTTTTGAGTCCAGTTATTGATAATCAGATGCGTCATCTGCCAAACGGGATCGCTCTGGCAAATCGTCGTTTGGCGTGTCTGGCTCTGGGGTGCACCGTGAGGAAGCAGCGTGAGATGGAGGATTTGCGTGCACAAGAAGCGTGGCAGCGGTCAGGAGATCTGCTCAAACGTAAGCCGTCCTGTAGAGCTCTTCACTGCTCGCCTCACTTGGTGTCATTCAGGCTACAGGCGAGCACTTGAGGAGATCTTCCTTATGGCGGCGGACTCTCCATTCGGCATACTCATTGAAGAACGTGAAGTAGAGCAATCAGAAACGACTATTTCAGTTATTTATTTCGTCAGGAATTCACCGAAGTTTTCTACAATTCGGCCGAGCTGCAGTCGGCTTATCATCTGCGCTTCCGAGGAAAAGTTTTATCGGAAATGCTGGAAGGCATATTCCACTATTTGTCACCATTAGTCGCGTCTTGGACTCAGTTGGACGACACTAACGAGGAGCTTCAGCTCTACTTCAATACCGGCAAGATGGGCTGTTGTTCGGTGCTCGATAACGGCCATTATCTTTGCTAGTGAAACGTTACCATTCCTCATCTGTTGTATTGGAGGGGATACGAACAATTCTGGTTAATGATGGACGCGAGAGGCAATGTGATGAGTTGAATATTCCTTCCTATTCGATGACGACTCCTAGTCTCGACAACCGAACGAGAATCACTAGCGTCTCTATAGAGTGAGCTAAAGTGCTTAAGTGTCCCGTTGCGAATTGGTGGAGATCTCAGCCATGGTGCTCTCGGACTGGTCAATGAGGAGCGCTTGAAGTCTCGGTTAGCCTCGTCATTTGGATTGCTAACTCAGGGTGGGTCGAATGGAAGAGCGGAGGGTATCGAACACCTTCATTGTGGCTCAGGCCGACTACCCCATGTAGTCGGTGCAGCCGTCGTAGCCGGCGCGGTAGCATATGCTGCTCGCGAGTTATACAATTTGCGACAACAAGCGTCGACTCTGAGGAAGCAGTTGCAAGAGGTGAGGTCGCTGCGAATGCTTTGTATCAACATTCGCGGTAGGCTCACAATAAGCTCGGGGAAAAGGAGTCAGAACTGCACCAAAAGACGGAGGAATTGGAGCTCCTCCATAAGAAGTGGCAAGGCGCAGCTCGTATGCTGCTCAGTCGCGCCGTGGTGGCCAATGAAATGCAGGAAACCAAAGTGAGTTCGATCTACTATTATGCCTGTGAACTCGTATGAGCAGACAAGTTCACCGTCGGGTACTGAGAGCACCTCTCATCCACGAGGTGTAGCGAGTCGACTGGTCACCGCTGCAACGGGTTCAGGAGCGACCAGAGTCGCTGCCGCAGCGGCTATGATGTGGTTGCTCCGACTAAGGATTTCTGCTGGAGGCTCACTACAGCTTCGCGGAGGTGAGACTTTCCCGAAGCGAAGTGTTGAATTCGACTGTCTTAGGGCCACATATAAAAGCCAAATTTGGTGTGAGCCGTCCACTGTGAAGAACTGAATGTGGCAACGCATGTGTAGCAGCAGCAAGCAACATGCCTCGTATGGCAGTTGAATATTAGCAGCAGCATCGTGCTGCTAAGTTGACAACCTTGGTATGTTGTGTTCGTAGTTCGTGTGCTTGGATAGACAAGAACAAATCCTGAATATCTCTCAATATACGACGAGTCCAGCTCGAAGATTCTCGGGCGAGCGCTCTCTATCTGCCATGGTTTGTCGAATGGACAGATTTTTATAATGGACGTGTCGGCAATCGTGTCGCTATCGTTGAGTTCAGGTGGATCCAATTAATTTCCATATTCTTGTAGAACTCTCTAGAGGCCATTGAAGGCTCCGACAGAAGCTGCACCCGAACAGCTCGTCGTTGTAAGGCATAAACGTTCAAAGAACGACGCTCGAAGAGTGTTGCAAAGTTGAGAAATTGTGAGTGCGCAAGATTCTCGCAAAACATGTCATGCAATGTGATGTTGTAAGTGAGCAAGATGCCATCTTGCTTCTTTTGGCTTAAATTATAAGCCTAAGTTCAAGTCACATGGCTGGGTCTATTCTATTCACATCGTTCTCTGCGTAGCTGTTGTTGTTGTTATCGCATTAATATCATGTCCGCTAAGTCGACCTTTCAAGCTGTCTTTGACAAGGCAGAGGAGACTACCATACCAGAGATGCAAAGTAAGGCCACTTACGAAGTGAATTATCATCCACCTCGCAATATTAGTTCAGTCAATGGGAGTACTCAAGTTGATAGTGGCATTATAGTGTGTCTTCTCGAATTCTTGAAGGAGTTGGTTCGGTTATGGTATGAATATAGCTGTAGGTTTTTACATCACACTGCCGAAGCACGGTTATCAAGTTGTTAATGAAGCAGATGAACTGAGTGCTATCAATACCGACACTCTAATGAAAGCTTTTCTACAAGATGGTCTCGTGAAAGAATGGCAACTGCAAGCTGGCGCTTCCCAGTTCGAAGAGACTCCGTGGGCCAAGTAGTAACTGCTCGTATGGTTCACCTTAGAGCTACTCTTTGTATTAGATTCACAGACGACAAAGATTCGTCCGTTGAAATTCTGTGCAAGAGGATTAACATGGTCATGCCCATTCCGAAGCTCCCGATGTACCCCTATCGCCTCAGCTATCAGTGATGCATTCATCTCTAGGTGTGCTGATGAGAGCCGAGTTATTGTGTACTACTGGCTGCGTTTGGAAGATGACGACGGTTCAATACGGCTCGAGAGTTTATCACAAAGTCTGGACGCCCCCTTTTGTAGTGCTATATGATGCCTATGATTTTTTGAACGTTTTTTTGTCAGGCACATATTTCACCAATGCTGAGCGAGCCGTCTTTCGTGATGCTAAAGATGAGAATGGGAAGGACTGTGTGATAATGTGACTCAATATTCACATCGGGTGGATCACTAGCACGTATTGTTTTTCAGGAAAAAGGAGTGTGGATGTAATTTCGTGAAATTTATGGTGATGAAATCTCAAGTTAGCAAGAATGTAATATATCCCTCATGACTTGACCATTTCGATTGTCTATTCTTCAGGTGGCGAGTTCGAGCGCTGAGGGGACGAAATTCCTCGAGCATGCTATAACGAAGATAACGCAGGCATAAGGTATGCAGAGACGCAGATTTATATTATCTCTAACATCGTTGATCGAACCATTATGTTGGTAGTAATTGCGTCGCTCCGCTGTAATCCGATTTCCGTGGTGATTTCTGTAAAGCTTGTTTGTTGCGTCTGCCGGAGGTTCTTGGGATGAGCTGCTGTGTGCAGTCGGATGGACATTGCGATATATTGGAGTTTCACCAGTCTTATGTGAAGTGGCGTAATACTCTATGAAAAAAAACGATATCTGCTAAATGCAGCAGTCGTGAAATATATTTTTTACTAGAGTTGTTCATATCACGGGTGAAACTCCTTCGCCTTACATAGTTAGATTCTTATAGATGTCGATAAGCCTATCATCAATTCCAGTAGACGACCCTTTTGATGGTGGTGATGTGCAGATTATAAAATTGGACAAAAAGCTCTCTGATGATCAGGTTCACAGCAACAGTCAACGCCGAACCCTCACAGTGCTCTCGGGGGCAAGAGTAGTTCTATGAAGAGCAACTTACAGGCTGGAATGACTCGTAGTGTGATTGCTAATGCTGGGAAAACTGTGGTAGTATAACGTCACTACTCAGAAGCTGAGGGTCTCTCATTATTTTCTATTTTAAATGATATTAAGTATATTATTTTTTGGAGTTTCACCCGTTTTACGTGAACTGGCGTAAAACTCCGTGAAAAACGCGATATTCACACTACGCAGTAGTCGTGGAATATGACTTTTTTCACTAGTGTTTTTTATATCACTAGGGTGAAACTCCATTATAGCACGTATATAATATAAATTATATCCATTATAGTGGAACTGCTAGCAACGCATTTATTGGTCATTTCAGTTGAGCGGTGCTCGCGGTGTTGGCAACTACGTCGTCCACAATCCCATGCGCATCAAGGTACGTCCCGTGGCACATACGCGTTGGTCATCGGTTATTCTATTCATAGATCTTCTCGTTCGTGGGGTCTCTGGCGGTCTTGGCGATCTCGATAGTCTCGTTCCTCAATGTCTTCAATATTGCATCACCAGCTCTATATGTTATTAATGTGTAATATGAAGGGAGTTCAGAGAGGAGTGGTATGAGTTGCTCGTGCAGGTATATGATGATATTTGCCTTTGTGCTGGCCGTGGCTGAGTCCAACACCTCGTGGCCTGGCGTAACCATCTCTCTGTGAGCAATTGCTAACATCAAGTTGTTTGTAGGTGAAAAAGTTGCAGAATATCATATTTGAACAATTTGGATTTTTGAAGAACAATTTGGGTCGTGGAATATTCCTGGTGAGTTTTTAATCTCATTAATACACAATGGAGTTTCACCCGTCTTACGTGAAGTGGCGTGATTTCCACGAGATGCAGTAGTCGTGAAATATGTTTTTGTTCTTCCGGGTTAAACAACAGTATATTGATAGAGTAATTTTTGTCATGTGTAAACAGCATTATGATCAGTCTACGCGCTTGTCCCTGGTTGCTCGCCACAGCTTTTCCCCTTCAGATTTTCATGGGAATGTTGTGGATTTCCTCATGGACGTTTTGGTTAGGATTCGTTGGCCTGTAAGCTAACAGGAATCCGCTTCGCTCCGCTGTTATTATTTTTCGCTAGGTATCTCTGCTGTGTCGGAGTCGGGTACATTGTCATTCACTTCTTACACCATGCCAGCGAGGAGAGTTCGCAGCATGTGACCTTCGATATGGAGGACTCCCCAACTGTTAGAGTTTGATAACGACATTCAACAACAACAGCAGTTCGCAGCGAAATTCTCGCTCGGTTCAACTCAGCACAATTGCGCTTCCTGATCACACATTTTGGCTTTGAGTTGGACGCTAAATGAAGGCATCACAACAGTAGGTGTATTGAGCAGTATTGGAATATATGTTCGCTTTCCTCAACTGAGCTCAAGAGTTTTCTTACTAGTTATAGGAGTTTATTTACGATTTATGTGCAGAAACCAATCGAGACTTCTCATATTGACTACCACACATGAAGTTGACCAGCACTGCTATTGACCAGCAGTTTGTTTGTGAATTTTCTATGCATTGTTCTTATTTGCTGTCAGTGGTTCTCCTTCTCATTTGGTGTTGTCAAGACGCTTTTGCAGAATGTGTACGCAAAGTTTCACCGAATTGTCAAATTCTATACTCTTGCTTTCCCTCAGACTCCTTCAGTGCGGCCATCAGAACAGTGTAGTGGTAACGGTCAGTGCGTGCGAGCTTCAGGCAAGTCGCTCCCCTCATTTTGAGAGATCCAGTGAGTTCATCGCGCAGTGTCCGCCGAGACTTCTGAACATGATGTATCGGAAGCATCATCATCAGCATTCACTTGCCGATGCTACGATGGTTTTTACGGTATCAATTGCGAACACCTGGATGAGCAAGCAGCCAAACTCGCAGGGGAGAGCGACGGGTGAGTGAATGACGATGAATGAAGTCCTTTCTGTTGAGGATGGACATCAGGTATAGAGTCGTGCGTCGGACAACTATCATTCACCATCGATCTCCTTATGTAAGCTATGCTCATCCATTGGCCATAGCGCAACGAATAAATTAGAAAAGTGTCCGTAGTTTTGGGTATATTTCATGGCGATCATGAGCATCCGAAACGGTATGTAGGCGCGATCGCCATGGCCATGTTACTCACAGAATATATGTGTATCACCTTGTGTATGACACACAGTTGATCATTGAAGTCGAGGTTCTTTAGGCACAACCTGGATACGTGCCCGGGGTAATGCCCATGCCAGTGGTCATTCCAGCTCCCGTAGCCCCAGCACCAGTCATAGTGATACTCAGCAACTTTCCTTCGGTGGAAAATTGTTGGTCGTTCGCAGATTGATGATCCCTACCATTCGGGCACGGTGGTTTACACTCACAGTGGCATCTCCTGGGTTCCCATTTTAATAACGTCCTTCATCGCGGTGAGTTATTCTCCCCTATCAGGATGCTATAGATGAGCACTCTCCTGTGCAGATAGCCGTCGTTATTGCCATCATTGTCTGCTGTTGTGCGGCTAACAATTCACAGGTATTGTGGAATGGTCCGATACGGCGTGAGATACTGATGCCTTCTTAGACTACGACCAGCGAGACTGTGGTGTATTCGAACTCCGATGGCTACCAGCGTCCTTTACTGGCAGACGAAGGAACCACTGTCACCGTAACTTGCCGTCTTGGGCTCTCTCACGTAACTGGTTGTTGTGTCAGGTGATCGAGGAAACTTATGATGACGGTAAAGGCCCTCAGACGCAACAACAGCAGCAGTCTAACGTGGTGAGCTCTCGACCACGACCTGAACGAGCACTGAGCTCCTCGTCCTGCTTAGGCCTATCCGACGCAAGTAACTGCACCGAGTGGGCAAGTCATTTACCAACGACCTGCAGATTCTACCGCTCGTCAACCGACTCAATATGTGGGTAATCAAAGTGGCGCGCCTCCAATGTATCAGAATGGACTACATCCACAGAATCAGGTGGAAAGGAGTTGCGGTCAAAACTTGCTAGAGTTCGTGTTGTCCAGGGTGCTTCGATGACTCAGCAAGCTCCTGCATATCCCCAGCCGACGGCCCCGCCTGCTTACAATCCGGAATTGGCTCGACAGTGAGCGGAAATCGATACCATTACTTTCGAAATAGCGTGATATTTGCCGTTTCATTCACCGTTTCAATGAACTCTGTGGGATTGCGTTCGACTGGAACACCTCCAACGAGAAAGATTAACAATGCATAGCCGAGGAAGGCAATGGCTGTAACTTGATCGTGACAAATTGTCTTTCGTCGAACTCGGGGTCGAGCGGCGGTCGGAGGACCCATAAATCGACTAGTCGTTGGTGAGATGACTGCAGTAGCCAGACTACTCCTTGATTCCTGGTTTTGTTGAGCTCACTGGATTTGGGAGCTTGGCTGAGAGGTGGTGGGGTAATGTACAGTTCACGTTGCACCTCGAGGGATGCAGTATTTGATAAAAGGCAATTCTGGCAACTGAGTTCAGTGGGGTTGAGCTCATGCGCAGATCCGATATACAGCGTAACTGCACTACTGTTTATCATCGAATAAGTCACAACGGACACACAACTATTGCATAGTTACTATTCATCATCGTCGTAGAAGCAAACGCAACATGGCGAATGAGGATTGATAGCTGGCGATAGATTGCCAATCACGAGCAAGCAGGCCCAATAGTAGGGAATGTGGCTTTTATGATAGACGCCGATAGCCCCAGGCTGATTTCAGCTCTGATGGCCAGACAAAGGAGAGCCATGGTCAAACGCATGAGCTTGTTTTCGAGACTAAACCTGGTTGTGGTCCTGACGCAACTCTCCTGATACGACTGACTTCCCCCAGCTGTATTTGCCGTGTGGATGTGTACTCTGCACCTCTTGCGTGATGGAACGCGACCTCCTATGATACACTGTGCTGTCGCCGTCCGTCTACTATGATACACTCGAAGCTCTGAGCAGCAGAGACCTTCATTGCCTATGCTACAGCGTTGATAACCTTATTCAGCAGTTCGAGAGGCTTGGCTGTGAATAATAGAGATGCCCCACTCGGAGTCCACGGTCGAATTTCGTACATGTCTCTGCGTGACACTGGACGAACATCATCTGAGGACCATTCAGCATCATGACGAGTCGTCCTTGACGAGTTCCTGGTGGTGATTCCCACTTGGGTTGTAGAAGGAAAATAGCTTCAAGTTTCGTTTCCAAGTTTCTGTTCGCGTCCCGATTGTATAGGTTTGCTAGTATTGCTCGTTCGTGTTTCATGTACAGACGTGCACGGTGTGCTAGTTCCAACAGAGGGCACGGGCTAATACGTGTGATGGTTCGAAGCAAAGCCAAAGACGAGCATCATAGCACAGATAAGAACCCCACGCTCTCTGAAGGACTACGGGTGAAGGGAGCCCTCGAATCCAGCAGAGTTGTCGACTCGCCACTGCCAGTGGCCCACTGGCGAGTCGTCAGAAATCAGGCGTACTCTATCTGCACGTACACAGAGGACTCAACAATTGGCGATGTTCCATTATATCTAGGGTGTGCGCGTCCATTGCAATCTCCGGTGCGCGGGGAGTCCCCAAACTCTATATCTTTCAAATGACTAGGGAGTGGAATCGCAAACCTCTCGTGCACGAATGAGGTTGAAATCCATAGTGCAAATGTACGAGCACTGAAATCTCTCCATTCCAGAGACCACAGATATCCCGAGCATGTTCTCCATCTCAAAACTTCCCTCACAAACTCGAATAACAACTCAAATGCCCCGATGGTCAAAAACTCTAACAAGTTCATCTCATACGTGCAATTGTGGCGTCGAGCTCACTCTTCTCTTCTACTTCTATCATGCTACGTAATCGAGTTACACTATCATAAGCATTTGCCGAATACGATGTGCTCTACAGCAATGCTCTGAACTGGCTCCCTTTAAGCCTTGATACGCTTCACTCGACAGTATCTTCAACGAGTCTTCCAACGATGTCCACGATACGAGGACCGCTAATTCACTTACAAGTTAGTATTTCCCTTGGTGACGAAATCATACAACACTCGTGTCCAGGAGTCATAGCTCGGCATGTCGTACCTGTTCTGTTCAGCTCACGAACAAACTTCTGCTTGTTACGGCACAGTGTTGAAATAATGTTCATTTTCCTCGGCTGAGTTCAGGAGTTTTCTTACGGATTATGCAAACTTACAAACGAATTCGAGTAGGAACGTAAGGAAACCAATAGGAATGCAGCTAAATTGCCTCGAAGTTTCCATTTTGCCATCAACACGTGTAGTTGACTATGTGCATATTTTCCCCTACACTGATACTGCAGATCCAATGACAGTCGCTTACCATTCAGGTGCCAACGCCTTGACCTTCGGGAGATTACGACCAGCCACAGTAGGGAAGTCATGATGTTCATTGTGATACCTGAGACAATGCGCTTTACGGCTATTTCCGAGAGTGCAACCTACCCAACGTTATACGCAAGGAGATTCAGAGGACCGTAGTAACTGAACGTCTCTTGGCCGTAGACAGCCTCCAAATGCTCGGCGATAAAGTGGCCCGACATTGGATGGAGACCCAAGCCGAAGAAGCTTCCCCAGAGCAGGTAGAAGAATGACTTCAAGCCCAGGAACTTGAGCACCACTATATCGAATGTAAGCTGCACCAGCCAATTGATGGCTTCGTAGTTGACCATAGGCAAGGGACGAATAACCATAGGACGCAGGCCATAGAATACCGGTTGGAAGAGTGCCCAAGTAAAGCGGCCCGGAACCGAACGGAAGAACTTAGCCTCCGCATGAGTCGGGATATCTACATCGATCTTGTCAACGCCCTGAGAACATCCGAGTTTTATCTGATGATCACTACTTGAGAATAAGAGTCGGGACACTCCAACATCTCTCACGAGTAGACTCAAATTACGCGAAAAACACGGCATATCACGCGTACAACAAGCTGGTCACAACAAATAACAAAATGAGAGGCATTTCTATAACAACGCTCCGCTCCACTTGTATAGATAAAGTTGCATGCACGTATCACCTGTGACGAGTGATGTTCGAGATGGTATCTTCGGAAAGTAGCTGCAGAGGCGACACCAGTCGGCAGATTACAGAAGATGCTGAACGGAAAGAGGCAGCTACGGGAAACAGCTCACGAGCTATATTGTCTGATGATATAGTTCCCTCCTTACGAGAAAACCTTGTTCAACATCTTCGACTTGAAGAAGAGATCATGAGATAGCTCATGCATTGCAAGTACTAAGGAGTGATTCATCGTTCCGGACACAATCTGAGCATGATAGTCTTGCCAAATGTTCAGCGCACACTACTCGCAGTCGCACGAGCTACTACACGCTAAACTTACATATGTCACTATCAAAAGGCTCGGCCAGGACCAATCCCTGACTATGTAGCACGTGAATAGCTGGACGAGTACTGTTGCCGTACAAAAGACTGCTGCCAGTGGATCGGGACCTTGCACTTTCAATATTTCCGGATGCCTAAGGGGTTTCACCAAGCACTCGGGTCATCACCAGATATCATCCATGCTCACGCCTTCAAAATCTTTTTCCTCCTTATCTTGTGTAGCTCCGGACTCTGAGACCAATGAAAATCCGAAGGTGCGCATTTGCGCTGTATATCGTCAGCATGGGCCGAGACGTCTCTGACAGGTTCTGACAAGCAAGAACAAGCATACAACGAACCGAGGCGTGAATAATTCTCACTGCATTCTGACTCTTCCAGCACGTCATAATGTACCAACCGGTTCATCGCCTTCGTCGGGGTTCTGTCGCCGTTGTCAGTTCTCCCATTCACCTCCGACGGCGTACTAACGAGCCCATCGACAGTTTTGGATTCCTCCTTCATTGAGTGGGTCATAGAATTATTATTCAATTGGAAGCACCTCAAGAGACTGCGGAAATGGAAATGGCCAAGCTGTACTGATTGTATCTTCTCATGAGGCCTCACATACTTCGCGGCTAGTTTCACACTCACGGTAATTTCTATTGGTGGGGCAGCTATGCCACCCCAAGATATGCCTTAAAATAACCAATTTTTCCGAGCGGGGCAGCTATGCCACCCCAAGATATGCCTCGAAACAACCGATTCCTCCGAGCGGGGCCACTATGCCACCCCAATATATGCCTTAAAATAACCAATTCCTCCGTGCGGGGCAACCACGCCGCCCTGAGATATGCTTCAATATAACCAATTCCTCCGAGCGGGGCAGCTATGCCTCCCAAAGATATGCCTCGAAATAGCCAATTCCTCCGAGCGGGGCCACTATGCCACCCCAAGATATGCCTTGAAACAACCAATTCCTCCGATCGAGGGAGTTATGCCACCCCAAGATATGCTTTAATATAACCAATTCCTCTGAGCGGGGCAGCTATGCCACCCCAAGCTATGCCTTAATACGAGCAAATCCGCACTGTATAACGAAAAGACTACTGCAATGTGTTCAGTCATACGCATGACGATTCGAAGGATCAACAGCTCGATACAGCCCTCCCCCCACCGCGCGTGATGATCAACTCGACACTTTAATGAGTCAACTTGACTCATACAAATTTGACACTTATAACTGACCGCCACTCCGAGATGAGCCCATCTTCCCTAGAGAGAGCCAACGCCTTGAGCAACTTCATGCGCAGTACGTTCAATCCAGAACGGAACGGGAACAACTGGCCCTAGTCATACCCATCATAAACGGGATCAATATGAACCATAGTATCGGGTTCCATATCATCTAAACCATCATCACCGATGATGTTATCGTCGACAATATGCTCGAAGGTATCATCGTTAGTAATCCCATCGTGGATCATATCCTCGAAAACATCGTCAGAGGCAATCTCATCGTGGCCCATTTCTTCGAAAAAGTCCTCATGGGCAATCTCGTCGGGGCCTATTTCCTCGAAAATGTCATCATAAGCAAACTCATCGGGGCCTATTTCCTCGAAAATGTCATCATAAGCAATCTCATCGGGGCCCATTTCTTCGAAAAAGTCCTCATGGGCAATCTCGTCGGGGCCTATTTCCTCGAAAATGTCATCATAAGCAAACTCATCGGGGCCTATTTCCTCGAAAATGTCATCATAAGCAATCTCATCGGGGCCCATTTCTTCGAAAAAGTCCTCATGGGCAATCTCGTCGGGGCCTATTTCCTCGAAAATGTCATCATAAGCAATCTCATCGGGGCCTATTTCCTCGAAAATGTCATCATAAACAATCTCATCGGGGCCCATTTCCTCGAAAATGTCATCATAGCCATCGTAGTCATGAATCATATCCTCAAATACATCACCATAGACCATAGCATGAAAGTTATGCCCAAAAGTCCCACCCGTGATTTTCTGCGGTGGGATGAATCCATGGTTTCGCGTCTTTTCGCCGCTACGACTGAGGTTCATTATCCTCACAACTGTTTCATTCATCTGCCCCTCTTGCTCTCTCCATAGTGTTACTGATACCCGCCAATCACTAGAAGCCGCAACAGAGATCACGCGAGTCGCAAGGCCCACACAATCACACAGCGGGACCTCGCCGCGAAAGATCTCATAAACACAGAAACTGCGTCCCCATGTATCCCCGAATATTCCCGTCACAACAGTACCATTCGTCCGTGGAAGGAACCGACAGCAACAGAAGGTCGGAACTCTAGCCTCGAAAACAGACCCATCGTGGCGCCAAATACCGAGGTGGCCCAGACGAGGAACAAACAGCACATGAGTGACCTTATCCTTCATCACCAATACATCTTGTACAACATCGCTGGCCTCGTTCTCACTGAATCTCTGCAGCAAACGACTACCAATCAGGGGCAGATTCCCGACCAACTTAATGGAAGAGTCAGGGGATACCATATAAAGCTTAGTATCCTTCTCTAGTAGCAGAAAGATACGTCCATCCGCCAACTTCAGCTCCCTTATCGACCTAGGCATAACGATTGACGACAACAACTCGTATCTACCACTGCTGACCAAGCCGTGCCGGCGTAGCACGTTTCGTGACTCGGACATAACGTAGTACACATCTTTTCCGAGAGCCACGGCCATGCTGATGTTACTTTCAGCTTCAAATACAACCTCTCCGGTAGTTGTAAGTGACTGACCTGAAGCCACTCCCGTCCCAAGTTCCATCCGGACCACCTTCCTTGCATCCTCCTCCCAAACACCAAAAATACCGTCCGTTGATTCAGAGACGAATGACGAAGGGAAAGGCTTGAACTTCTCCGGCAGCCTGAAAGCTTCCTGGGCGCATTTGTCTGGAGGATTGATGGTTATTGGAATAATGTGGGCCCATATTAGATCCTCTAAACACTCGGGAAGGTTGCCCATACGGCTCTCTATCAGTTGCGTACGCAGAGCCGCCAAATGAGACCTAGAGATATCTTCTACCATTCTAGCAGACACTCAGGCGGCGCAGGACAACTTATAAAGATATAGAACAATTCCCTGGGTAGAGAATGTGAGCTTAGACCCATATAAAAGCACTAAGCAAGCACCGCAGGACTCCTCCAGAACAATAGCAAAAAGACTAATAACACCATTCACATATACACAGAGACTTCTGCTGAAGAGCATGTGCATAGACACATAGGCTGAGCATATACTTGCAATTCATTTGAGCTTGAGGGAATCCGCTAACGCCCAGCGATATCCCCAGTGGATCAATCCGGAGATGAAATGAAGCCCACCCCTGCGTCCACACAGTACATCTACATGAGCGGCTAGCACCACCAAAACAGTGAATACGTTGTGTTCGGCACATACGTTCAGCACCGATGCTGTTAAAATTCCAAGACGATCCACTTGATCTACAGAGTT